TGAGTGAGTGAGTGAGTGGGTGAGTGAGTGTGTGAGTGGGTGGTGGGTGAGTGAGTGGGTGAGTGGGTGAGTGAGTGGGTGAGTGAGTGGGTGGGTGAGTGGGTGGTGGGTGAGTGAGTGAGTGAGTGGGTGAGTGGGTGGGTGAGTGAGTGGGTGAGTGAGTGGGTGGGTGGGTGGGTGAGTGAGTGAGTGGGTGAGTGAGTGGGTGGGTGGGTGGGTGGGTGAGTGGATGAGTGGGTGGGTGGGTGAGTGAGTGAGTGGGTGGGTGAGTGGGTGGGTGAGTGGGTGAGTGGGTGAGTGAGTGAGTGGGTGAGTGGGTCAGTGAGTGAGTGGGTGAGTGGGTGGGCGAGTGGGTGGGTGAGTGGGTGGGTGGGCGAGTGGGTGGGTGAGTGAGTGGGTGAGTGAGTGGGTGAGTGAGTGTGTGGGATGGAGAGTGGTCGAGTAGAGATGACCGCATTGTGCTACAAACCCGGCCACCCAGGTTCAATTCCCACTCGTGGTCGACACGAGTAACGATCCGGTCCACAGCCTCCCCTAGGTCGACTCAGCCTCAAATGAGTTCCTGGAGTGGTATGTAAACATCGCCACTCAGGAGACGAAGGCTGTCGTGATGCTGTGAAATGATGATCTGCTAAATGTTATTGAGTCTCAGAAGGATACGGAGACTCTGTTGAACGTGAATCGCGCCACGAAGAGGTGAGGCCTTACCAACAGCCCCACCAAAACAAAGTACCGACCTCGTCATTTTACGCCATAAAATCCTCCACCCTCCTCCACTGCCCATGAGTGATGGAACAGTTGTCGAGAGAGTGGAGGTGTTCCCATACCTGGGCTGCGCGCTTATGACCATCTCCCGTTTGATAGCAGAGAACTCCCTCCAAATCAGTCGAGTGGAATGATCTTTTAATCGGCTGTGTTTAGTTTAATTTCATTGATTAGGTAATAACCCTGTGAGCCATGCAGCTCTTGACTCGGGTGCAGCCGTAACAAAATAAAAACATGAATAAGAAACATCTTCAAGTGACTCCAACGCACCAGAAAAATCCTGGAAAAAACAGCAAAGTCTTCCAGAAAAAGGACCGCATTTCAACGCGGTGTGCGAAAATCCCAGTGGGATGCAAGTCAAACAATAACAACCATAAGACAATGCAGATTACAGTTATCAGGCTAACTCTGCACTACAACAAACAAACATGGCTAAACCAGAACTTTTAAAAATCACCAAAATAAAGCTGTAAAAACAACGCTGTGTGGAAACGAATTGGCCTGTCGCTGCATTTGAAGCTCCGGGTCTTCATGGACACAGTTTATGTATTTGGTATCGCCCTGTGAGCCATTCGGCTCTTGAATCGGGTGCAACCGCAACAAACAAAAAACATGAACAAAAAACATCTTAAAGTGAATATGTGACTGAGTGCAAACAAAAAATCCAAGAAAAGACAGCAAAATATTGCAGAAAAAAACACCGTACAATGCGCCCAGCTTATATATATGCTCCAAGCTCGTGTGCTGTTTCATTCAGACTCTGTCGCCTCGACGGACCTGGTTTTCACCTGAGGACGGCTGCTTGCGTTGTGGCCGAAACGTCGTGAGAATTGTTTTATTATGTTTTATTTTTATTATTTTATTACTTCCCTTCTACGTGACTTTACCGAAAGAACCAAGAAGACCGTACACACCAACGCTGTGTGCAAAAATCCCAGTGGGATGCAAGTCAAACAACAACAACAACCACAAGACAACTTAGATTAAGGCCATCAGTCTAACTCTGTACTGCAACAAACAAACATGGCCAAACCAATACACTTTTCAAAATCACCAAAATAAAGCCATGAAAGCAATGAAACAGTGATCATAGGAACTGTGACGGAATTTGCACAATAAATGGCATCAACAACATGTACTACCAAACTCTGTAGCCATAGCTGGCTGCATGAGTCACTCCACAACAGCAGGGTCTTCATGGACACAGTTTATGTCCTCCCTTACAGCATTACCTTCCCGAAATCAAAGTGTAATGTAGGTCGTGGAAGCGACTTCTGGAATCCGGTCTTTATTTGTCTTTCGTTCACAACACTCCCATCTTACTCCTTGACGCTGCTGACAGACAGGGTGAGAGGGAGAGAGAGAGACACGCGCGGCCACGTGGCTGCCTGGACCACGTGGCAGCCTGGACCACGTGGGCAGCCTGGACCACGTGGCAAGCCTCGACCACGTGGCAGCCTGGACCACGTGGGCAGCCTGGACCACGTGGGCAGCCTGGACCACGTGGGCAGCCTGGACCACGTGGGCAGCCTGGACCACGTGGGCAGCCTGGACCACGTGGGCAGCCTGGACCACGTGGGCAGCCTGGACCACGTGGTACAGCCTGGACCACGTGGCCTCACCCTCCGTTCGTTCCAGTTCTGACCACGTGTTGTTCGTCTCCACCCCTATTTAATACCCGGGTCACGTGGTACCTTTCCACCAATCCTGGTTAGCCTCTATGGAATGTTCCAGACTCCATCGTAGGCTCCCGGGACCACGCCCCTGACTCGTCTCCCCATTGGCTGTGGCTAAAGCCAGCAGAACCATTCCTCTACTTACAGACGTCACCTTCCCATGACGTCAGGGCCACGCCCCTAGGCTTTCCCCCATTGGCTATGGGCCAGGACCGGCAGAGCCAATCATCGTGATGAGTTGTGATCCAACAGCAACCCGGATATGTCCTCACATTACAAAAGTATGAAAGCAAACATCGAAAGTGGAAAGACCACACGGTGGGCAAAAATCTGCGCCCAACAATTTATTGACAAACGGGGGTTTACATGCAACAGCAAAACGAAGATTAAAATCAGTCCAGCTGTGTCCCTTGTGTTTGTGTGCGTGCCTGTGTGTGTGTGAGCCGCATTATAGTTCAGGACTTTTACTGGTAGGAACCTCCTGGTTACACCAGCCCACAGGGGATTATTGTGTCCGTCCGTCCGTCGTGCATCCAAAAATGGGAGGGGTGGGGCTGGGTGGGAAGGGGCTGGGTGGGGAGGGGCTGGGTGGGGAGGGTGGGGAGGGGCTGGGTGGGGAGGGGGCTGGGTGGGGAGGGAGGGTGGGGAGGGGCTGGGTGGGGGAGGGGAGGGTGGGGAGGGGCTGGGTGGGGAGGGGCTGGGTGGGGAGGGTGGGGAGGGGCTGGGTGGGGAGGGCTGGGTGGGGAGGGGCTGGGTGGGGAGGGGCTGGGTGGGGAGGGAGGGAGGGTTGGGGCTGGGTGGGGAGGGGCTGGTCACCCCGTGGTGCCCTATAAAACTCAACGTTTCACCTACTCACGCGGCTTGTGCCCGCCCTCACAGTCGGGCATATTTGCGGAATACACCACGCCGCCGTTGACCCTGCAGGCCATTGACCGAGCAACCCAACAACGTTCCTACCAGCTCCCTCCGCAGCAGGACAATGTGTTGAATACGAGTGCCACCTCATCAGGAAGGAGTGGGGCCTAAAGATTAAGTGGGCGGGGAATGTAGAGGAAGAGGCGGAGCCTAAACCGGAAGAGGTGGAGCCTAAACCGGAAGGGGTGGGGCCTAGGGAGTAAGGGAGACCAATCAGGGAGTGATGGGACCTCAGGTTTAAGGGGGCGAGATGAATAGGGCATCATGGTGCGCCGAGGTGGTGAGATGTTAGCTCCCTCGCCTGGTGTGCAGGAGACACCATTGGAACCTCATTTGCCAGTAAAAAATATGATAATTGTTTTTTACCCTTTTATCTGGCAACAAAACTGACACCTTTTTTTACGAGGAGTCATGTTTGCATAGACCACAATGCCTGCAGTCGGAATGCAAATAAAAAAACACAACTCTGATAATGTATGTGCACTGTCCTTGAAGTTGATTGGTCCACACCCGAGACAGCTTTCCTTAGAGCCTGGTCTCACATGGGTTGGACCAGATGACGCCAAAAGGCGCATTATGGCTGCAGGTATTGTGGTCAATGCAAACATGACTCATTGTAAAATAAAGTGTCAGTTTTGTTGCCAGATAAAAGGGTAAAAAAACAATTATCATATTTTTTACTGGCAAATGAGGTTCCAATAATACCGTTATGTTTGTGGTTTTTATACAGGGGGGGGGGGTGATGTCTAATGTGACGCGTGAGTTTTGTTGCTCTCCTCGGCCTATTTTTGCCACCAGGCCGATCTGAGGGCTGCAGCGGCAGTGGCAGCGGCGGTCACGTAGAAGGGAAATAATAAAATAATAACAATAAACATAATAAAATACAATTCTCACGACGTTTCGGCCACAACGCAAGCAGCCGTCCTCAGGTGAAGAACAGGTCTGTCGGAAAGACAGCGTCTGAATGAGCACCATCAAGCTTGGCAGCGTATATTTAAGCTGGGTTGGAGAAGGAAGAGTGCCTTGACAAAATAATTTGCATATCAAGAGGAATTTAGCATATTTATGGGAAATGCAGATATGGGATTAGTCACTACTTGTGGAATGCGTAGGAGGTGGGCGGGGGGTTTTAAAGTCATATTATGCCCGTGCATTATGTAGGATTATTAGTTCCCTTCTACGTGACTTTACCGAAAGAACCAAGAAAATTATTCTAGATTTGAAGCTTTCGTGACTGCAAGGATTCATACTCTTTGGTGTTTTCGGCAAAGTCGCCACGTAGGTGAAAAATAAAACAAAATAAATGAAATGAAAACAACTGAAGGACGGAAGCTTGCGTTGCCCCCGAAACGTCGCGGTTCAATTTAGTTGTTTTCATTTCTTTCGATTTAAAGCTTTCGTGACTGCAGGGATTCATTTTCTTGGTTCTTTCGGTAAAGTCACGTATTATTATTATTTCCATTCTACGTGACTTTACCGAAAGAACCAAGAAGATTCATTTCTTTCGTTGAATTTTTTGACCTACCTGACTTCACCGAAAAAAAACCAAACAGCGCAACAACGATGGCCACGACCGTGACTACGGTGACGACGACAACGGTGACGATGAGAATCCCTTGCCACCATTGGAACCTCATTTTCCATTAAAAAATATGATAATTGGTTTTTTACCCTTCTATCTGGCAACAAATTTTCAGAGTTATGTTTTTTGTTTGCATTACGACTGCAGGTATTGTGGTCTATGCAAACATGACTCCTTGTAAAAAAAAGGTGTCAGTTTTGTTGCCAGATAGAAGGGTGAAAAAACAATTATCAATCCCTCGCCATTCAAAGAGTTGACTTCCCGAGTGGCGACGCAAAACCAAAACGACCCCGCGGGTTTCATCGGTAGCGCCACCGACGCGTGCCGGGAGACGTGCGGTCTCACGGTGCCAGCAGCGGCGTACGCTCCGAGGCGCCGACCGGTGTCGCCGCCGCCGCCGCCGCCGTGTCATCGTCCGTGCCGGAGGCCCCGAGCCTCCACGTCACCGACGAGAGTTGGCGCTGGATGTGGATGAAACAGGCGGCGACGACGCGGCGTTCGTGGCGGGGTCGGGCGCGTCCGCTGACCCATGACTCCCCGGCCACCGCCGCCTGCAAGGGGGGGGGGGGTGAGCAGAGGTCGCAACCGGGTACCCGATACCCGTACCCTACCCGATACCCGGCTACCCGTACCCGTACTCTACCCGATACCCTTACCCTACCCGATAACCGTACCCTACCCGATACCCGTACCCTACCCGATACTCGGCTACCCGTACCCGGCCGGGTACGGGTAGCTGTTTGCGACCCTGGTGCGGCCGGGTACGGGTAGGCCGTGAGTCACTGGTGAGTCACCGTTTGTCACTCATTTCCCAACGTCTTGTCTCTTCTCACAATTCAAGTTCCTAGAATCAACCCACCCGCGCCAGCAACGTGGCTTCATCCCAGAGGTCGCAATCGGGTACCCGATACCCGTACCCTACCCGTACCCGGCCGTACCCGTACCCTACCCGTACCCGTTTGCGACCTCTGGCGACGACGCGCCGTGTCAACATGAAGCGTCAACATGGAGCGCTGCGGTCGGCATGGTGGGCTAGGTAGGGTGGTGCGGAAGAAGTTCAACATCCATGCAAACACAGACTCACACACAGAGACCCACAGACTCACACAGAGAGGCCCATAGACTCACACAGAGACCCACAGACTCACACAGAGACCCACAGACTCACACAGAGAGGCCCATAGACTCACACAGAGACCCATAGACTCACACAGAGAGGCCCATAGACTCACACAGAGAGACCCATAGACTCACACAGAGAGACCCATAGACTCACACAGAGAGACCCATAGACTCACACAGAGAGACCCATAGACTCACACAGAGAGGCCCATAGACTCACACAGAGAGGCCCAAAGACTCACACAGAGAGGCCCATAGACTCACACACAGAGACCCATAGACTCACACAGAGAGACCAATAGACTCACACAGAGAGACCCATAGACTCACACAGAGAGACCCATAGACTCACACAGAGAGGCCCATAGACTCACACAGAGAGGCCCATAGACTCACACAGAGAGGCCCATAGACTCACACACAGAGACCCATAGACTCACACAGAGAGACCAATTAGACTCACACAGAGAGACCCATAGACTCACACAGAGAGACCCATAGACTCACACAGAGAGACCCATAGACTCACACAGAGACCCATAGACTCACACAGAGACCCATAGACTCTCACAGAGAGGCCCATAGACTCACACAGAGAGACCCACAGACTCACACAGAGAGACCCACAGACTCACACAGAGAGACCAATAGACTCACACAGAGAGACCAATAGACTCACACAGAGAGACCCATAGACTCACACAGAGAGACCCATAGACTCACACAGAGAGGCCCATAGACTCACACAGAGAGACCCATAGACTCACACAGAGAGACCCATAGACTCACACAGAGAGGCCCATAGACTCACACAGAGAGGCCCATAGACTCACACAGAGAGACCCATAGACTCACACAGAGAGGCCCATAGACTCACACAGAGAGGCCCACAGACTCACACAGAGAGGCCCATAGACTCACACAGAGAGGCCCATAGACTCACACAGAGAGGCCCATAGACTCACACAGAGAGACCCATAGACTCACACAGAAACCCACAGACTCACACAGAGACCCATAGACTCACACAGAGAGGCCCATAGACTCACACAGAGACCCATAGACTCACACAGAGAGGCCCATAGACTCACACAGAGAGACCCATAGACTCACACACAGAGACCAATAGACTCACACAGAGAGACCCATAGACTCACACAGAGAGACCCATAGACTCACACAGAGAGACCCATAGACTCACATAGAGAGACCCACAGACTCACACAGAGAGACCCACAGACTCACACAGAGAGACCCACAGACTCACACAGAGACCCATAGACTCACACAGAGAGACCCATAGACTCACACAGAGACCCATAGACTCACACAGAGAGACACATAGACTCACACAGAGAGACCCATAGACTCACACAGAGAGACCAATAGACTCACACAGAGAGACCCATAGACTCACACAGAGAGACCCATAGACTCACACAGAGAGACCCATAGACTCACACAGAGACCCATAGACTCACACAGAGAGACCCATAGACTCACACAGAGAGACCCATAGACTCACACAGAGAGACCCATAGACTCACACAGTGACTCATAGACTCACACAGAGAGGCCCATAGACTCACACAGAGAGGCCCATAGACTCACACAGAGAGACCCATAGACTCACACAGAGAGGCCCATAGACTCACACAGAGAGACCCATAGACTCACACAGAGAGACCCACAGACTCGCACAGAGAGACCAATAGACTCACACAGAGAGACCCATAGACTCACACAGAGAGACCCATAGACTCACACAGAGAGACCCATAGACTCACACAGAGAGGCCCATAGACTCACACAGAGAGGCCCATAGACTCACACAGAGAGACCCATAGACTCACACAGAGAGGCCCATAGACTCACACAGAGAGACCCATAGACTCACACAGAGAGACCCATAGACTCACACAGAGAGGCCCATAGACTCACACAGAGAGACCCATAGACTCACACAGAGAGACCCATAGACTCACACAGAGAGGCCCATAGACTCACACAGAGAGGCCCATAGACTCACACAGAGAGACCCATAGACTCACACAGAGAGACCCATAGACTCACACAGAGAGACCCATAGACTCACACACAGAGACCAATAGACTCGCACAGAGAGACCCATAGACTCACACAGAGAGACCCATAGACTCACACAGAGAGATCCATAGACTCACACAGAGAGACCCATAGACTCACACAGAGAGACCCATAGACTCACACAGAGAGACCAATAGACTCACACAGAGAGACCAATAGACTCACACAGAGAGACCCATAGACTCACACAGAGACCCATAGACTCACACAGAGACCCATAGACTCACACAGAGAGCCCCATAGACTCACACAGAGACCCATAGACTCACACAGAGACCCATAGACTCACACAGAGAGGCCCATAGACTCACACAGAGAGACCCATAGACTCACACAGAGACCCATAGACTCACACAGAGAGACCCATAGACTCACACAGAGACCCATAGACTCACACAGAGACCCATAGACTCACACAGAGAGACCCATAGACTCACACACAGAGACCAATAGACTCACACAGAGAGACCCATAGACTCACACAGAGACCCATAGACTCACACAGAGACCCATAGACTCACACAGAGAGGCCCATAGACTCACACAGAGAGACCCATAGACTCACACAGAGACCCATAGACTCACACAGAGAGAACCATAGACTCACACAGAGACCCATAGACTCACACAGAGACCCATAGACTCACACAGAGAGACCCATAGACTCACACACAGAGACCAATAGACTCGCACAGAGAGACCCTCAGACTCACACAGAGACTCATATAAACTCACAAAGAGAACCATAGACTTACCAAAATACCCACAGACTCACACAGAGACCCATATACTCACACAGATACCCAAAGACTCACACAGAGACCCATAGACTCACACAGAGACCCACAGACTCACACAGAGACCCACAGACTCACACAGTGACTCATAGACCCACACAGATACCCACAGACTCACACAGATACCCAAAGACTCACACAGATACCCATAGACTCACACAGATACCCATAGACTCACACAGATACCCACAGACTCGCGTAGAGACCCACAGACTCACACAGAGACCCATAGACGCACACTGAGACCCACAGACTCACACAGAGACCCACATACTCAAACAGAAACCCATAGACGCACATAGAGACCCACAGGCTCACACAGAGACCCATAGACGCACACAGAGACTCACACAGAGACCCATAGACTCACACAGAGACCCACAGACTCACACAGAGACCCACAGACTCACACAGAGACCCACAGACTCACACAGAGACCCACAGACTCACACAGAGACCCATAGACTCACACAGAGACCCACAGACTCACACAAAGACCCACAGACTCACACAGAGACCCATAGACTCACACAGAGACCCATAGACTCACACAGAGACCCACAGACTCACACAGAGACCCACAGACTCACACAGAGACCCACAGACTCACACAGAGACCCACAGACTCACACAGAGACCCACAGACTCACACAGAGACCCACAGACTCACACAGAGACCCATAGACTGACACAGAGACCCACAGACTCACACAAAGACCCATAGACTCACACAGAGACCCACAGACTCACACAGAGACCCACAGACTCACACAGAGACCCATAGACTCACACAGAGACCCACAGACTCACACAAAGACCCATAGACTCACACAGAGACCCACAGACTCACACAGAGACCCACAGACTCACACAGAGACCCACAGACTCACACAGAGACCCACATACTCACACAGATACCCACGGACTCACACAGTGGGGGAGGTTGGGGGTAGGGGGGTGTGTGGGGAGTCTTTGGGGGTCCCCACTTACCCGCAAGTAAAGGAGGCTTGCAAGGAACAGGCTGATGCTTCCAAGGAAGGTGGAGAGCGTGAAGCCGCAGGGGATGCTCATCCTGGATAGGTGGGTGGAGTGGGGGACGGGGGGGGAGAGCGGGCGATTCGGGGCATGAAGACAAAGATCCCCCGCGTAGCCTGTCACAGACCGTAGGGGCAAGTGCTGTTAGCGAGCAGCACCTGTGAATGTCGGCACGGCACACGAGGGGGTGGGTGGCCAGCACCACGCCCGGCCGCCTTTATCTCCCGAGTGGCGATGTTTATGCACTGCACTCATTTGAGGCTGAGTCGACCTAGGGGAGGCCCAGGACCGGTGTTGTTCGCGCAGTGCCCCCATCTGCCAAGGGCCGTTTGGATATTTATAACATCATTCGTGGGCCATACAAAATGATCAACTTAGAAAATTAACCCGTAAAAACAAAATTTTTCACTATAAATCCTTTATATGCGTGGCGGCTAGAGTCCTCTCGTCCTCTGGCTTGAGATGGCTGCCACCTATGGGTCAGATGATTGCCTGCCACCATTAAGCAATTGGTAATTAAATATAATTTATTTTTTCCTAAAAAGTGTAAAATTTTGGAGAAAAAAAATTCACGAAAATAAATTGTCACGCACAACGAGTCTGTGTGGAAGATTTCAGCTCGATTGGATCACGGGAAGTGGGTTAAAAAACGACCGAAAGATTTGCACGGTCGTAAGCGCGCAAGCAAGCAAGCAAGTGAACTTATTATAAAGGATTTAATAAAGGATTTAGAAATGAGCCCGTTGTTATATTTGGTCAAACATTTCATTAACTCGCCCCTAATGTGATGGCTGGAACTGCTTTTCTTTGGCGAGGCGTGGGGTGATGTTAGCCGGTATTGATGATGATGTTGCTGCTAAATTTCGATTTAAAGCTTTCGTGACTGCAGGGATTCATCTTCTTGGTTCTTTCGGTAAAGTCACGTAGAAGGGAAGTAATAAAATAATAAAAATAAAACATAATAAAATAATTCTCACATTTAATATAAGGTACCACAATGTGGTACGTATCAGATATTAAACTGATAAGAACAAATACTACACTTGATCTTAGCCAAAAGGCCGAGATACGTACCACATTGTGGTACCTTATATTAAATGTGAGAATTATTTTATTATGTTTTATTTTTATTATTTTATTACTTCCCTTCTACGTGACTTTACCGAAAGAACCAAGAAGATGTTGCTGCTACTCGCAACTGCTTTTCCAGGTTTGCTCCTAGATTTATTGAATTTCGAGTCCTGCCTGCGGTTGCCTTGGCAGGGCCCAGACCCAAATGATTTCGCGGGGCTTTATATGGCCCGCAGGCCGGACGTTCCCTCCACCCCTGCGAAACGATGGCAACATCAGCCGCCATGCACCACTAAGCAGAGGTCGCAACCGGGTACCCGATACCCGTACCCTACCCGATACCCGGCTACCCGTACCCGGCCGGGTACGGGTAGCCGTTTGCGACCCTGGTGCGGCCGGGTACGGGTAGGCCGTGAGTCACTGGTGAGTCACCGTTTGTCACTCATTTCCCAACGCCTTGTCTCTTCTCACAATTCAAGTTCCTAGAATCAACCCACCCGCGCCTGCAACGTGGCTTCATCCCAGAGGTCGCAATCGGGTACCCGATACCCGTACCCTACACGATACCCGTACCCTACACGATACCCGGTCGGGTACGGGTAGCCGGGTATCGGGTACGGGTACGGGTACCCGTTTGCGACCCTGGTGCGGCCGGGTACGGGTACGGGTAAGGAATCAAAACCCGTTTGCGACCTCTGCCACTAAGTGGCAGTGAGGTCACCGCGGTGTTTGTGCCAGGCTAGGTACATGTCGAGGCTATCGCGTGAAGTGTGGAAAGTCTTCTCGGTTCTTTCGGTAAAGTCATCACGTAGAAGGGAAATAATAAAATAATAAAAATAAAACTTCATAAAAAATACAATTCTCACGACGTTTCGGCCACAACGCAAGCAGCCGTCCTCAGGTGAAGAACAGGTCTGTCGGAAAGACAGCGTCTGAATGAGCACCACCAAGCTTGGCAGCGTCTATTTAAGCTGCTGGGTTAGAGGGGAAGGGCGCCTTGACAAAGGAATTTGCATATCAACAGAGGAATTTAGCATATTTATGGGAAATGCAGATATGGGATTAGTCACTACTTGTGGAATGCGTAGGAGGTGGGGTCTCAAAGTCATATTATGCCCGTGCATTATGTATGTAAAAAAGCGTGGAAAGCTTGCTGCTGGCAGGAGGTCACGGGACAGACGCAGATGCCATGGGTTGACTGAGATGACCGGTAGATGCACCACCAGCTGTACCCTCCTACTGTGCCAGGCTAGGTGCCAGAGGTCATGGGACAGACCCAGCAGGTGCCATGGGTTGACTGAGATGACCGGTAGATGCACCACCAGCTGTACCCTCCTACTGTTCCAGGCTAGGTGCCGCAAGTCACGGGACAGACCCAGCAGGTGCCATGGGTTGACTGCTGTGCCAGGCTAGGTGCAGGAGGAGGTCACGGGACAGACCCAGCAGGTGCCATGGGTTGACTGAGATGACCGGCAGATGCTACCACCTGTGCCCCCTACTGTGCCAACTCGCTGCGTTGTAACTGCCCGTTACTCCACTCGTTGTTGTGAGCTTCGTTCTTCTGCCCTTGGCTGTTGGTGGAGGGCGACTGCCTCCAACTGCCCCATCAGCGGCGTCCTTCACGAGCCTCCTCCTCCACAGAAGCCGTTCTTGACACCGCTAGCAACGGCCATTGGCAAGTCCACTCAGCTCCACATCCTCCTGTACCGCATCAGCTCCATCTCTTCCCTAGCTGTGCCACTCACCCACTCACTCACTCACCACACCCACTCACTAACTCTCACCTACCCACTCACCCATCCATTCGCCACACCTCACCCACCCACTCAGCAATCAGCTCCATCTCTTCCCTTGCTGTACCCACTCACTCACCCACCCACTCACTCACTCACCCACCCACTCACCAACTCTCAACTACCCACTCACCCATCCATTCCCCACTCCTCACCCACCACTCAGCCATCAGCTCCATCTCTTCCCTAGCTGTGCCACCCACCCACCCACTCACTCACTCACCACACCCACTCACCAACTCTCACCTACCCACTCACCCATACATTCGCCACACCTCACCCACCCACTCAGCCATCAGCTCCATCTCTTCCCTTGCTGTACCACTCGCTCACCCACTCACTCACTCACTCACCACACCCACTCACTCACTCTCACCTACCCACTCACCCATCCACTCGCCACACCTCACCCACCCACTCAGCCATCAGCTCCATCTCTTCCCTTGCTGTACCCACTCACTCACCCACCCACCCACTCACTCACCACACCCACTCACCAATTTTCACCTACCCACTCACCCATCCATTCGCCACACCTCACCCACCCACTCAGCAATCAGCTCCATCTCTTCCCTTGCTGTACCCACTCACTCACCCACCCACTCACTCACTCACCACACCCACTCACCAACTCTCACCTACCCACTCACCCATACATTCGCCACACCTCACCCACCCACTCAGCCATCAGCTCCATCTCTTCCCTTGCTGTACCACTCGCTCACCCACTCACTCACTCACTCACCACACCCACTCACTAACTCTCACCTACCCACTCACCCATCCATTCGCCACACCTCACCCACCCACTCAGCAATCAGCTCCATCTCTTCCCTTGCTGTACCCACTCACTCACCCACCCACTCACTCACTCACCCACCCACTCACCAACTCTCAACTACCCACTCACCCATCCATTCCCCACTCCTCACCCACCCACTCAGCCATCAGCTCCATCTCTTCCCTAGCTGTGCCACCCACCCACCCACTCACTCACTCACCACACCCACTCACCAACTCTCACCTACCCACTCACCCATACATTCGCCACACCTCACCCACCCACTCAGCCATCAGCTCCATCTCTTCCCTTGCTGTACCACTCGCTCACCCACTCACTCACTCACTCACCACACCCACTCACTCACTCTCACCTACCCACTCACCCATCCACTCGCCACACCTCACCCACCCACTCAGCCATCAGCTCCATCTCTTCCCTTGCTGTACCCACTCACTCACCCACCCACCCACTCACTCACCACACCCACTCACCAATTTTCACCTACCCACTCACCCATCCATTCGCCACACCTCACCCACCCACTCAGCAATCAGCTCCATCTCTTCCCTTGCTGTACCCACTCACTCACCCACCCACTCACTCACTCACCACACCCACTCACCAACTCTCACCTACCCACTCACCCATACATTCGCCACACCTCACCCACCCACTCAGCCATCAGCTCCATCTCTTCCCTTGCTGTACCACTCGCTCACCCACTCACTCACTCACTCACCACACCCACTCACTCACTCTCACCTACCCACTCACCCATCCACTCGCCACACCTCACCCACCCACTCAGCCATCAGCTCCATCTCTTCCCTTGCTGTACCCACTCACTCACCCACCCACCCACTCACTCACCACACCCACTCACCAATTTTCACCTACCCACTCACCCATCCATTCGCCACACCTCACCCACCCACTCAGCAATCAGCTCCATCTCTTCCCTTGCTGTACCCACTCACTCACCCACCCACTCACTCACTCACCACACCCACTCACCAACTCTCACCTACCCACTCACCCATCCATTTGCCACACCTCACCCACCCACTCAGCAATCAGCCCATCTCTTCCCTAGCTGTGCCACCCACCCACTCACCAATTCTCACCTACGCACTCACCCATCCATTCGCCACACCTCACCCACCCACTCACTCACTCACCACACCCACTCACCAACTCTCACCTACCCACTCACCCATCCATTCGCCACACCTCACCCACCCACTCACTCACTCACCCACCCACTCACTCACCCATCCACTCGCCACATCACCCACTCACTCACCACACCCACTCAATCACTCTCACCTACCCACTCACCCATCCACTCGCCACATCACCCACTCACTCACCACACCCACTCAATCACTCTCACCTACCCACTCACCCATCCACTCGCCACATCACCCACTCACTCACCACACCCACTCACTCACTCTCACCTACCCACTCACCCATCCACTCGCCACATCACCCACTCACTCACCACACCCACTCAATCACTCTCACCTACCCACTCACCCATCCATTCGCCACACCTCACCCACCCACTCAGCCATCAGCCCATCTCTTCCCTTGCTGTACCCACTCACTCACCCACCCACTCACTCACTCACCACACCCACTCACTCACTCTCACCTACCCACTCACCCACCCATTCGCCACACCTCACCCACCCACTCAGCCATCAGCTCCATCTCTTCCCTTGCTGTACCCACTCACTCGCCCACCCACTCACTCACTCACCACACCCACTCACCAATTTTCACCTACCCACTCACCCATCCATTCGCCACACCTCACCCACCCACTCAGCCATCAGCCCATCTCTTCCCTAGCTGTGCCACCCACCCACTCACCAACTCTCACCTACCCACTCACCCATCCATTCGCCACACCTCACCCACCCACTCACTCACTCACCCACCCACTCACTCACTCTCACCTACCCACTCACCCATCCACTCGCCACATCACCCACTCACTCACCACACCCACTCACCAACTCTCACCTACCCACTCACCCATCCACTCGCCACATCACCCACTCACTCACCCACCCACTCACTCACTCTCACCTACCCACTCACCCATCCACTCGCCACATCACCCACTCACTCACCACACCCACTCACCAACTCTCACCTACCCACTCACCCATACATTCGCCACACCTCACCCACCCACTCAGCCATCAGCTCCATCTCTTCCCTTGCTGTACCACTCGCTCACCCACTCACTCACTCACCACACCCACTCACTCACTCTCACCTACCCACTCACCCATCCACTCGCCACACCTCACCCACCCACTCAGCCATCAGCTCCATCTCTTCCCTTGCTGTACCCACTCACTCGCCCACCCACTCACTCACTCACCACACCCACTCACTCACCACACCCACTCACTCACTCTCACCTACCCACTCACCCACCCATTCGCCACACCTCACCCACCCACTCAGCCATCAGCTCCATCTCTTCCCTTGCTGTACCCACTCACTCGCCCACCCACTCACTCACTCACCACACCCACTCACTCACTCTCACCTACCCACTCACCCATACATTCGCCACACCTCACCCACCCACTCAGCCATCAGCTCCATCTCTTCCCTTGCTGTACCACTCGCTCACCCACTCACTCACTCACCACACCCACTCACCAACTCTCACCTACCCACTCACCCATACATTCGCCACACCTCACCCACCCACTCAGCCATCAGCTCCATCTCTTCCCTTGCTGTACCACTCGCTCACCCACTCACTCACTCACCACACCCACTCACTCACTCTCACCTACCCACTCACCCATCCACTCGCCACACCTCACCCACCCACTCAGCCATCAGCTCCATCTCTTCCCTTGCTGTACCCACTCACTCGCCCACCCACTCACTCACTCACCACACCCACTCACCAATTCTCTCCTACCCACTCACCCATCCACTCACCACACCTCACCCACCCATTCAGCCATCAGCTCCATCTCTTCCCTTGCTGTACCACTCGCTCACCCACTCACTCACTCACCACACCCACTCACTCACTCTCACCTACCCACTCACCCATCCATTCGCCACACCTCACCCACCCACTCAGCAATCAGCTCCATCTCTTCCCTTGCTGTACCCACTCACTCACCCACCCACTCACTCACTCACCACACCCACTCACCAACTCTCACCTACCCACTCACCCATCCACTCGCCACATCACCCACTCACTCACCCACCCACTCACTCACTCTCACCTACCCACTCACCCATCCACTCGCCACCTCACCCACCCACTCAGCCATCAGCCCATCTCTTCTACAGCCTGTTGCGTGTCTATTTTAGCCCCTCTCCATCTGTCCAAACATCAGCTGCTTGGGGCACGCGACCCGGCAGACCCAGCCTCCTCGCCTGCCGGAGGAGTTCACCGATGACGGGAACCTGCGTCCAGATCTCCCGAGGAAGGACCCGCGAGTTCCTTGAAGAGGAAGCCCCCGGGGAGAGCGGACCTCAGGCGTGGTGGGCTCCCCTTGCACCCCCAACACGAGACTCACACGAGACTCACGTGGTGTAGAGCAGCGCGCGGCTGTAGTAGGAGGTGGTGACCATTCCCAGGGCATCCACCAGCCGCTCCAGCAGCTCCTGAGCCCTGCAGAGATAGAATGCCACGGCTCGGCCCTTGAGCAGCTCACATGCATCCCATTGTTTCCACTGGCCACACCCGAACCGAGCCAGGCCATGGGGACCCTGGCACGGTACGGGTGGTGTTTTTCCACTGCCCACACCGGCTCCATTCCCAGCAACACAAACGACCGTCGCTTGCGGCGTGGCGATCGAAACGTCGTGATCAATAACACTGGTCAACAAAACAAAATTCTGGCCTGGACTTTTGCAGCTGTTTTAAACTAATTTCAGGGTGCTGATTCCAATTCTAGATTTGAAGCTTCCGTGACTGCGAGGATTCATATTCTTAAGTCACGTAGGTAAAACATCAAAATTAATAATAATATTTTTATTTTATTTTATTTATTTTATTTTTTATTAATTTAGATGTTTTACCTACGTGACTTTACCGGAAAAACCTAAGAATATGCTGATTCCAAATCTGATCTCAGATTTTCTCTATCACATCTCATTTTTATGCTATCGGCATACCCCATTTTCATTGATTTTACCTGAAATTAACTCTGTCACTTATGATTGCAAGTTGATGTGAGTCAGTGACTGCTTTAGTGTTAAAATACGGTGCTGTATTTTTAGGATAGTGTGTCTATAATATCATTTTATGTAGATATCCACATTTATTTAATATTTTTCTTCCGCAGTTTTTATTGAAAATACAATATTTGATATCTCAAAAACCTGATGTGATAGACAAAAAAATTTACCTTAAAACAGTTGGAATACCTTATGCCAGCAAAAGTGTGTTGACCAGTGTTATTGTTTCTAGATTTGAAGCTTTCGTGACTGCAAGGATTCATATTCTTAGGTTTTTTTCGGTAAAGTCACGTAGGTAAAAAATTAAGATTAATAAAAGTAAAATTAAAATAAAATAAAAATCACGACGTTTTGGAGGCAACACAAGCTTCCGTCTTCAGGTGGAACCGTCACAGCACGATTGCTGTATCAAGTGAGAGAAATACCAAGAACACAGTCCTTGTATATATACTGGTTGAGGGTGGGAGGAGTCAAGGTAGGCCCCTGGATATTATTGTTGTGAGGTTCGGTGCGGCTGAAGCACGCTGTTAGGAATGAGCCTTTGTTGTGTAAACTAGGTGCGGATGCTGTAAAGGTGCATGTAAAAGGGACTGAGCCTTTAGTTATGTAGAGGTGGTGCGGCTGAAATCGCTGCCAGGAAATGAGTCTTTGTTGTGTAGAATGGTTGACTGAGCCTATTGTTATGTAGATGTGGTGCGGCTGAAATCGCTGCCAGGAAATGAGTCTTTGTTGTGTAGAATGGTTGACTGAGCCTATTGTTATGTAGAAGTGGTGTGGCTGAAATCGCTGCCAGGAAATGAGTCTTTGTTGTGTAGAATGGTTGACTGCGCCTATTGTTATGTAGAGGTGGTGCGGCTGAAATCGCTGCCAGGAAATGAGTCTTTGTTGTGTAGAATGGTTGACTGAGCCTATTGTTATGTAGAGGTGGTGCGGCTGAAATCGTTGCCAGGAAACGAGTCTTTGTTGTGTAGAATGGTTGACTGAGCCTATTGTTATGTAAAGGTGGTGCGGCTGATATCGCTGCCAGGAAATGAGTCTTTGTTGTGTAGAATGGTTGACTGAGCCTATTGTTATGTAGAGGTGGTGCGGCTGAAATCGCTGCCAGGAAATGAGTCTTTGTTGTGTAGAATGATTGACTGAGCCTATTGTTATGTAGGGGTGGTGCGGCTGAAATCGCTGCCAGGAAATTAGTCTTTGTTGTGTAGAATGGTTGACTGAGCCTATTGTTATGTAGAGGTGGTGCGGCTGAATTCGCTGCCAGGAAATGAGTCTTTGTTGTGTAGAATGGTTGACTGAGCCTATTGTTATGTAGAGGTGGTGCGGCTGAAATCACTGCCAGGAAAAGAGTCTTTGTTGTGTAGAATGGTTGACTGAGCCTATTGTTATGTAGAGGTGGTGCGGCTGAATTCGCTGCCAGGAAATGAGTCTTTGTTGTGTAGAATTATTGACTGAGCCTATTGTTATGTAGAGGTGGTGCGGCTGAAATCGCTGCCAGGAAATGAGTCTTTGTTGTGTAGAATGGTTGACTGAGCCTATTGTTATGTAGAGGTGGTGCGGCTGATATCGCTGCCAGGAAATGAGTCTTTGTTGTGTAGAATGGTTGACTGAGCCTATTGTTATTTAGAGGTGATACGGCTGATATCGCTGCCAGGAAATGAGTCTTTGTTCTGTAAAATGGTTGACTGAGCCTATTGTTATGTAGAGGTGGTGCGGCTGAATTCGCTGCCAGGAAATGAGTTTTTGTTGTGTAGAATGGTTGACAGAGCCTATTGTTATGTAGAGGTGGTGCGGCTGAAATCACTGCCAGGAAATGAGTCTTTGTTGTGTAGAATGGTTGACTGAGCCTATTGTTATGTAGAGGTGGTGCGGCTGATATTGCTGCCAGGAAATGAGTCTTTGTTGTGTAGAATGGTTGACTGAGCCTATTATTATGTAGAGGTGGTGCGGCTGAAATCGCTGCCAGGAAATGAGTCTTTGTTGCGTAGAATGGTTGACTGAGCCTATTGTTATGTAGAGGTGGTGCGGCTGAAATCGCTGCCAGGAAATGAGTCTTTGTTGTGTAGAATGGTTGACTGAGCCTATTGTTATGTAGAGGTGGTGCGGCTGAATTCGCTCCCAGAAAATGAGTCTTTGTTGTGTAGAATGGTTGACTGAGCCTATTGTTATGTAGAGGTGGTGCGGCTGAAATCGCTGCCAGGAAATGAGTCTTTGTTGTGTAGAATGGTTGACTGAGCCTTTTGTTATGTAGAGGTGGTGCGGCTGAAATCGCGTCCAGGAAATGAGTCTTTGTTGTGTAGAATGGTTGACTGAGCCTATTGTTATGTAGAGATGGTGCGGCTTAAATCGCTGCCAGGAAATGAGTCTTTGTTGTGTAGAATGGTTGACTGCGCCGATTGTTATGTAGAGGTGGTGCGGCTGAAATCGCTGCCAGGAAATTAGTCTTTCATCTTCTTGGTTTTTTTGGTAAAGTCACGTAGAAGGGAAGTAATAAAATAATAAAAATAAAACATAATAAAATAATAAAAATAAAACATAATGAAATAATATAATTCTCACGACGTTTCGGCCACAACGCAAGCAGCCATCCTCAGGTGAAGAACAGGTCTGTCGGAAAGACAGCGTCTGAATGAAACACCACCAGGCTTGGCAGCGTATATTTAAGCTTGGTGGTGCTCATTCAGACGCTGTCTTTCCGACAGACCTGTTCTTCACCTGAGGACGGCTGCTTGCGTTGTGGCCGAAACGTCGTGAGAATTGTATTTTATTGTTTTATTTTTATTATTTTACTATTTCCTTTCAACGCGACTTTACCGAAAGAACCAAGAAGATGAATCCCTGCAGTCACGAAAGCTTTAAATCGAAATTTAAATGAGTCTTTGTTGTGTAGAATGGTTGACTGAGCCTTTTGTTATGTAGAGATGGTGCGGCTGAAATCGACGTGACTTTAACCGAAAGAACCACAGAGCACGCAACGGGGTCACGGTGTCCGCACGTTGAGCACGATGAGCTCCGAACGCCGCGATGCGTCTCACCGCCGTGGCCGACGCTTGGGCTCGCCGGCCGGGGCTCTGCGTGGAGCGGCCTCCTCCTCCCGTCGCTGAGCCCTCGTGTCCTCGCGAGGACGCCGGGCCCCTTCCTCGTCCACCTTCTCCTTGTCCACCTTGGCCCCGCGCGGGTACTCGATGAGTGACACCAGCGAGCCCAGAGCCCTGCGCCGTAGGTAAGGAGGACTAGGGGGCCTGGCCACGTGGGGGAGGGGGGGTCTGTCTAGAGATGGGGTTCACCACCTCGTGTCCACTGTGAGACTCACCACGTGACCACTGACTCACCACGTGACCACTGACTCACCACGTGACCACTGACTCACCACGTGACCTCTGACTCACCACGTGACCACTGACTCACCACGTGACCACTGACTCACCACGTGACCACTGACTCACCACGTGACCACTGACTCACCACGTGACCTCTGACTCACCACGTGATCACTGACTCACCACGTGTCCACTGACTCACCACGTGTCCACTGACTCACCACGTGACCACTGACTCACCACGTGACCACTGACTCACCACGTGTCCACTGACTCACCACGTGACCACTGTGAGACTCACCACGTGACCACTTGTGAGACTCACCACGTGTTTGTGCCATGGTGGTAGTGATGTTGTAGCTATTGGTGATGTTGTGGTGATGTGGTGGTGATGTGGTGGTGATGTGGTGGTGATGTTGTAGATGTGGTGGTGATGTGTGAGTGATGTGTGAGTGATGTGTGCGTGATGGTGGCATTGATGGCACTGATGTGACGATGGCTCACCTCCAGCAGCGAGCCTCACCATCACTGACCACGTGGTGTGAGCACGTGACACTCCACGTGGCCTCAAATCGGCCTGACATCGGGGCCATCCCATAAATGACGTCACGCGATTTTGGACGATTTTGACCCCCCCCCCCCCTTCGTCACACGGCGTCACAAAAAGTCAGACCCCCCCCTCCTCAAATATGACGCCACAAAGCTTTGCCCCCCACCCCCCCCCCCCCAAAAATGCTTCAAATCGCTTTAAACTGTTGTCATTGTGGTGCGTATTTAATGTGGCGCTGCACTCTGATGTTGTAGGAGAAAAACATTTATTACAAAGTCTATTTCATTAAGTAGAACGTCACCATTGGAACCTCATTTGCCAGTAAAAAATATGATAATTGTTTTTTTTACCCTTTTATCTGGCAACAAAACTGACACCTTTTTTTACAAGGAGAAAAAAAAACATTCCAAGATGAAAAGCCTCTTGGCGTCATCTGGTCCAACACCAAGTGAGACTAGGCTCTAAGGAAAGCTGTCTCGGGTGTGGACCAATCAACTTCAAGGACAGTGCATACATTATCAGAGTTGTGTTTTTTGTTTGCATTACGACCGCAGGTATTGTGGTCAATGCAAACATGACTCCTTGTAAAAAGGTGTCAGTTTTGTTGCCAGATAGAAGGGTAAAAAAACAATTATCTGATAATGTATGCACTGTCCTTGAAGTTGATTGGTCCACACAAATGAGGTTCCAATGGTGTAAATGTTTACCCCGAGCTCTCGTACTCTGATGGTGCATTGTCTTTGAGTTGTGCGCCTTTTGGCGTCATCTGGTCCAACACCATGTGAGACTAGGCTCTAAGGAAAGCTGTCTCGGGTGTGGACCAATAAACTTCAAGGACAGTGCATACATTATCAGAGTTATGTGTTTTATTTGCATTATGACTGCAGGTATTGTGGTCTATGTAAACATGACTCCTTGTTAAAAAGGTGTCAGTTTTTTTGCCAGATAGAAGGGTAAAAAAACAATTATCATAAGTAGAACGTGTTGTCTATATTTATTTAAAGTTGCGCATTTTCACGTGACGTCACATTTCTCAAACACCCCCCACCCCCCCTCGTCACACATCGTCACAAATGTCTGACCCCACCCCCCCCCCCTAAGGTGCGTGACGTCATTTATGGACGGCCCCGATGCCAGGCCGATTTGAGGCCACGTGGAGTGTCACGTGCGCACACACCACGTGGTCATTGATGGTGAGGCTCGCTGCTAGAGGAGAGCCATCGTCACATCACCATCACATCACCACCACATCACCACCACATCACCACCACATCACCACAACATCACCACCACATCACCACCACATCACCACCACATCACCACCACATCACCACCACATCACCACCACATCACCAACACATCACCACCACATCACCACCACATCACCACCACATCACCAACACATCACCACCACATCACCCCCACATCACCACATCACCACATCACCACCACATCACGCACACATCACCACCACATCACCACATCACCACCACATCACCACCACATCACCACATCACCACCACATCACCACCACATCACCACCACATCACCACAACATCACCACATCACCACCACATCACCACCACATCACCACCACATCACCACCACATCACCACATCACCACCACATCACCACCACATCACCACATCACCACCACCACATCACCACCACATCACCACCACATCACCACCACATCACCACCACATCACCACCACAACATCACCACCACATCACCACCACATCGCCACCACACCACCACCACATCACCACCACATCACCACAACATCACCACAACATCACCACAACATCACCACCACATCACCACCACATCACCACTACATCACCACTACATCACCACCACATCACCACCACATCACCACCACATCACCACCACATCACCACCACATCACCACCACATCACCACATCACCACCACATCACCACATCACCACATCACCACCACATCGCCACCACATCACCACCACATCACCACATCACCACTACATCACCACCACACACCACATCACCACCACATCACCACATCACCACATCACCACCACATCACCACCACACACCACATCACCACCACATCACCACATCACCACATCACCACCACATCATCACATCACCACCACATCACCACCACCACACCACCACAACATCACCACCACATCACCACCACATCACCACATCACCACCACACCACCACCACATCGCCACCACACCACCACCACATCACCACCACATCACCACATCACCACCACATCACCACCACATCACCACATCACCACCACATCACCACCACATCACCACATCGCCACCACATCACCACCACATCGCCACCACATCACCAATAGCTACAACATCACCACCACATCGCCACCACATCACCACCACATCACCACATCACCACCACATCACCACATCACCACCACATCACCACTACATCACCACTACATCACCACTACATCACCACCACATCACCACCACATCACCACCACATCACCACCACATCACCACCACATCACCACCACCACATCACCACCACATCACGCACACATCATCACCACATCACCACATCACCACCACATCACCACCACATCACCACATCACCACCACATCACCACCACATCACCACCACATCACCAATAGCTAGTGAGGTTGAGCGCGAGCGACGTGGCAAGGATACAGACCCACCGCCGATAACCCCCAGAGTTCACACTCCTCCACCACCGCAACGAGGCCACCAATCATCAGCACTGGGGTCGATACATCACACAGGGGAGACACTTCAGGTGACGCCAGAGGTCGCAACCGGGTACCCGATACCCGTACCCTACCCGATACCCGGCTACCCGGCCGGGTACGGGTACGGGTAGCCGTTTGCGACCCTGGTACGGCCGGGTACGGGTAGGCCGTGAGTCACTGGTGAGTCACCGTTTGTCACTCATTTCCCAACGTCTTGTCTCTTCTCACAATTCAAGTTCCTAGAATCAACCCACCCGCGCCTGCAACGTGGCTTCATCCCAGAGGTCGCAATCGGGTACCCGATACCCGTACCCTACCCGTACCCGGCCGGGTACGGGTAGGGTACGGGTACGGCCGGGTACGGGTACGGGTAGGGTACGGGTACGGCCGGGTACGGGTACGGGTAGCCGTTTGCGACCCTGGTGCGGCCGGGTACGGGTAAGGAATCAAAACCCGTTTGCGACCTCTGGGTGACGCTCTCGGGTGTACACACCCACAATGCACCACTACCTCATCTGGTACACTATCTGGTACACTACCTGGTGACCTGGTGCACTACCTCACCTGGCGCACTACCTCACCTGGTACACTACCTCTCCTCGCACACTACCTGGCCTGGTTTACCACCTCGCCTGGTACACTACCTTGCCCGCTATACTAAATACTCTGATTATGAGATGTATAATCTTCTATACAATAATACGCTAAGATACTTTTTGTCCTGTAACATGCTGCCCATCTGGTTGGCTTGTTGAGATGCACAGAGACCCACAGAGATACATAGAGACCCGCTGAGATACATAGAGACCGACTGAGGCATCAGGGTCGGATTGAACCCACGACCTCCTGTATACCAGGCGAGGCAGTTAACATCTCCTAGCCACATGCAAACTCCAAATGTACAGCAGGCGTCATGGTCAGATTGAACCCACGACCTCCTGTATACCATGCGAGGTAGTTAACATCTCCTAGCCACATGCAAACTCCAAATATACAGCAGGCGTCATGGTCAGATTGAACCCACGACCTCCTGTATACCATGCGAGGTAGTTAACATCTCCTAGCCACATGCAAACTCCAAATATACAGCAGGCGTCATGGTCAGATTGAACCCACGACCTCCTGTATACCATGCGAGGTAGTTAACATCTCCTAGCCACATACAAACTCCAAATGTACAGCAGGCGTCAGGGTCGGGTTGAACCCACGACCTCCTGTATACCAGGCGAGGTAGTTAACATCTCCTAGCCACATGCAAACTCCAAATATACAGCAGGCGTCAGGGTCGGGTTGAACCCACGACCTCCTGTACACCAGGCGAGGTAGTCAACATCTCCTAGCCACTGTGATGCCTCAAACAAGTTGTAACACGTTCTGCCCCGCTCTTTGCCGACAAATACAAAAAAAATGTCGTGCGTCCATTCAACTCAATAGCTGTGTGATAAAAATAATAATAACAACCCTATGTGTCCTGACTTTTGGGCCACCCTGTGTATGGTTTGGCCTGTAATGTTGGCGAGGTGATCTCAGTTCCAATTAGGTCAGCAAAGATCGATAACACTGGTCAACACACTTTTTCTGGCATAAGGTATTCCAACGGGTCTAATGTAATTTTGGGGTGCTGATTCCAAATCAGTTTTTTGTCTATCACATCAGGTTTTTGAGATATCAAATATTGCATTTTCAATAAAAACTGCAGAAGAAAAATATTAAATAAATGTGGATATCTACATAAAATGATATTATAAACACACTATCCAAAAAATACAGCACCGTATTTTAACACTAAAGCAGTCACTGACTCGCAACAACTTGCAATCATAAGTGACAGAGTTAATTTTGGGTAAAATCAATGAAAATGGGGTATGCCGATAGCATAAAAATGAGATGTGATAGAGCAAATCTGAGATCAGATTTGGAATCAGCACCCTGAAATTAGTCTAGAACAGCTGCAAAAGTCCAGGCCAGAAAAAAAATGTGTTTTTTGTTGTTGACCAGTGTTATTAATACTCACTGGTCAGCAAAGATCGATAATTCTTAATACTCACTGACTCCGGACATCAGAGCTAGCTCATTGGCCCACAGCGCCCATTCCACACGCGATGCCATGGCCAGTCACGGGCCCAAGCCACTTGGGGGACACGTGGACTCGGAGAGAGAGAGACTCAGAGATACAGAGACAGAAACACGGGGACTCAGAGACACGTGGACTCAGAGATACGGAGACAGAAACACGGGGACTCAGAGACACGTGGACTCAGAGACACAGAGACAGAGACACGGGGACTCAGAGACACAGAGACAGAGACACGGGGACTCAGAGACACAGAGACAGAGACACAGGGACTCAGATATAGAGAGACAGAGACAGAGACACGGGGACTCAGAGATACAGAGACAGAGACACGGGGACTTGGAGATAGAGAGACAGAGACACAGAGACAGAGACACGTGGACTAAGAGAGAGAGACTCAGAGATACAGAGATAGAGACACGGGGACTTGGATGTAGAGAGACTAAGAGACACAGAGACAGAGACACGGGGACTAAGAGAGAGAGACAGCGACACGGGGACTCAGAGACACAGAGACAGAGACACGGGGACTCGGAGATACAGAGACAGAGACACGGGGACTCAGAGATAGAGAGAGACAGAGACACGGGGACTCGGAGAAAGAGAGACAGAGACACGGGGACTCAGAGACACAGAGACAGAGACACGGGGACTCGGAGATACAGAGACAGAGACACGGGGACTCGGAGAAAGAGAGACAGAGACACGGGGACTCGGAGATAGAGAGACAGAGACACGGGGACTCAGAGACACAGAGACAGAGACACGGGGACTCGGAGATACAGAGACAGAGACACGGGGACTCGGAGATAGAGAGACAGAGACACGGGGACTCAGAGACACAGAGACAGAGACACGGGGACTTGGAGGTAGAGAGACTAAGAGACACAGAGACAGAGACACGGGGACTTGGAGAGAGAGAGATTAAGAAATACATAGACAGAGACACGGGGACTCAGAGACACAGAGACAGAGACACGGGGACTTGGAGGTAGAGGGACTAAGAGACACAGAGACAGAGACACGGGGACTAAGAGACACAGAGACAGAGACACGGGGACTTGGAGGTAGAGAGACAGAGACACGTGGACTAAGAGATACAGAGACAGAGACACGGGGACTCGGATATAGAAGGACACTGGGACATTGGGACACACAGTGACCCAAATATGAATGTACTCGGACACACAGAGACCAGGAGTACACACAAAGGCCCGGAGACACACAGAGACCAGGAGACACACAGAGACACAGACACACTGAATCCAGGAGACACACAGAGAGACCGAGAGACATACACAGAGACCCGGAGACACCCACAGACACAGACAGAGAGACACACACAGAGAGAGACTGGAGTCCAAAAGACACAGACAGGGACAAAGAGATGCACAGAGAGATCTAGAGAGCCGGAGACACAGACAGAAAGACACACAGAGATCCAGAGGGTTGGACACAGAGAGACTTGGAGTCACAGAGACACAGACACAGACAGAAAGACACACAGAGATCCAGAGACACACACAGAGACGTGGAGACCCAGAGACAGAGAGACACACACAAAGAGACTTGGAGACACAGACACACAAAGAGAGACCTGGAGTTACAGAGACACAGACAGAGACAGAGAGACACACACAGAGACCCAGATACACACAAAGAGACTTGGAGACACAGACACAGACACACAGAGAGAGACCTGGAGTTACAGAGACACAGAGACAGAGACACACACAGAGACTTTGAAACCCAGAGACACACAGACACACAGACAGAGAGACACACAGAGAGACTTGAAACCCAGAGACACAGAGACACACAGAGAGAGACACACACAGAGACTTTGAAACCCAAAGACACAGAGACACACAGAGAGAGACACACACAGAGACTTGGAGACCCAGAGACACAGACACAGACAGAGAGACACAGAGAGACTTTGAAACACAGAGACACAGAGACACACAGAGAGAGACACACACAGAGACTTTGAGACACACAGAGACACTCAGAGACTCAGAGACTTTGAGACACACAGAGACACACAGAGACTCAGAGACTTTGAGACCCAGAGACACACAGAGACACACAGAGACTTTGAGACACAAAGACCCAGAGACACACAGAGACACACACAGAGAATTTGAGACGCAGAGACACACACAGAGACTTTGAGACACAGAGACACACAGAGAGACACACACAGAGACTTTGAGACGCAGAGACACACAGAGAGACACACACACAGAGACTTTGAGACACACAGAGACACACAGAGACTCAGAGACTTTGAGACGCAGAGACACACAGAGAGACACACACACAGAGACTTTGAGACACACAGAGACACACAGAGACTCAGAGACTTTGAGACACAGAGACACACAGAGAGACTTTGAGACACACAGAGACACACAGAGACTCAGAGACACAGAGACACAAAGAGAGCTGGAGTCACAGAGACACAGAGAGAGAGACACACACAGAGACTTTGAGACGCAGAGACACACAGAGAGACACACACACAGAGACTTTGAGACACACAGAGACTCAGAGACTTTGAGACACAGAGACACACAGAGAGACACACACACAGAGACTTTGAGACACACAGAGACTCAGAGACTTTGAGACACAGAGACACACACAGAGACACACACACAGAGACTTTGAGACACACATAGACTCAGAGACTTTGAGACGCAGAGACACACACAGAGACACACACACAGAGACTTTGAGACACACAGAGACTCAGAGACTTTGAGACGCAGAGACACACAGAGAGACACACACACAGAGACTTTGAGACACACAGAGACTCAGAGACTTTGAGACACAGAGACACACAGAGACACACAGAGACTTTGAGACACACAGAGACTCAGAGACTTTGAGACGCAGAGACACACAGAGAGACACACACACAGAGACTTTGAGACACACAGAGACTCAGAGACTTTGAGACGCAGAGACACACAGAGAGACACACACACAGAGACTTTGAGACACACAGAGACTCAGAGACTTTGAGACGCAGAGACACACAGAGAGACACACACACAGAGACTTTGAGACACACAGAGACTCAGAGACTTTGAGACGCAGAGACACACAGAGAGACACACACACAGAGAGACTTTGAGACACACAGAGACTCGGAGACTTTGAGACGCAGAGACACACAGAGAGACACACACACAGAGACTTTGAGACACACAGAGACTCAGAGACTTTGAGACACAGAGACACACACAGAGACACACACACAGAGACTTTGAGACACACAGAGACTCAGAGACTTTGAGACGCAGAGACACACACAGAGACACACACACAGAGACTTTGAGACACACAGAGACTCAGAGACTTTGAGACGCAGAGACACACAGAGAGACACACACACAGAGACTTTGAGACACACAGAGACTCAGAGACTTTGAGACGCAGAGACACACAGAGAGACACACACACAGAGACTTTGAGACACACAGAGACTCAGAGACTTTGAGACGCAGAGACACACAGAGACACACACACAGAGACTTTGAGACACACAGAGACTCAGAGACTTTGAGACAGAGAGACACACACAGAGACTCAGAGACTTTGAGACGCAGAGATACACAGAGAGACACACACACAGAGACTTTGAGACACACAGAGACTCAGAGACTTTGAGACCCAGAGACACACAGAGAGACACACACAGAGACTTTGAGACACACAGAGACTCAGAGACTTTGAGACCCAGAGACACACAGAGAGACACACACACAGAGACTTTGAGACACACAGAGACTCAGAGACTTTGAGACACAGAGACACACAGAGAGACACACACACAGAGACTTTGAGACACACAGAGACTCAGAGACTTTGAGACGCAGAGACACACAGAGAGACACACACACAGAGACTTTGAGACACACAGAGACTCAGAGACTTTGAGACGCAGAGACACACACAGAGACACACACACAGAGACTTTGAGACACACAGAGACTCAGAGACTTTGAGACACAGAGACACACAGAGAGACTTTGAGACACACAGAGACACACAGAGACTCAGAGACTTTGAGACGCAGAGACACACACAGAGACACACACACAGAGACTTTGAGACCCAGAGACTCAGAGACTTTGAGACACAGAGACACACAAAGAGAGCTGGAGTCACAGAGACACACAGAGAGAGAGACACACACAGAGACTTTGAGACGCAGAGACACACAGAGAGACACACACACAGAGAGACTTTGAGACACACAGAGACTCAGAGACTTTGAGACACAGAGACACACAGAGAGAGCAGGCGACAGGGCGATGAGCGTTGACAGGGGAAGTTTGCACTTCCCCTGTCAACGCCACCACGAAGTGGTGCCACGTCAAACACAGACAGCCTCCACCACCATCAACCACCATCAACCACCATTCACCACCACTAGCCACCACCAACAACCACCACCACCAGATTGTGTAGGCCACTGGACTACAGGGTACTGGGAGGCCTGCCCAGTAATATTTTCAAAAGGAACACAAAGTTAGAGAAAAATAAAATGTTATTTTTTCAATGCTAGCAACAAATATAGTTCAGCACTCACGAAGTTAAACAACTTTTCACTTCATCTCTGGAGGAGCCCTCCAGCGGGTGGAGGCCCCTAAAGGCCCCGTGACTTGATCCGGCCCTGCCATTCACCACCAACATCATCCACCAACCATCACCACCACCACCATCATCCACCACCTCCATCAACCACCATCATCCACCACCACCACCAACCACCATCATCCATTACCTCCACCACCAACATCATCCATCACCTCCATCAACCACCATCATCCATTACCTCCACCACCAACATCATCCACCACCTCCATCAACCACCATCATCCATTACCTCCACCACCAACATCATCCACCACCTCCATCAACCACCATCATCCACCACCACCACCAACCACCATCATCCATTACCTCCACCTCCACCATCATCCATCACCTCCATCAACCACCATCAACCACCACCACCACCACCACCAACATCATCCATCACCTCCATCAACCACCATCAGCCACCACCACCACCAACCACCATCATCCATTACCTCCACCTCCACCATCATCCATCACCTCCATCAACCACCATCAACCACCACCACCACCACCACCAACATCATCCACCACCTCCATCAACCACCATCATCCACCACCACCACCAACCACCATCATCCATTACCTCCACCACCAACATCATCCATCACCTCCATCAACCACCATCAACCACCACCACCACCACCAACATCATCCATCACCTCCATCAACCACCATCAGCCACCACCACCACCAACCACCATCATCCATTACCTCCACCACCAACATCATCCATCACCTCCATCAACCACCATCATCCACCACCACCACCAACCACCATCATCCATTACCTCCATCAACCAACATCATCCACCACCTCCATCAACCACCATCCATCAACCACCATCATCCACCACCACCATCATCCATCACCTCCACCACCACCATCCACCACCATCAGCCACCACCTCCATCAACCACCACCACCACCAACATCAACCATCACCTCCATCAACCACCATCATCCATCACCTCCATCATCCATCACCTCCACCACCACCATCAACCACCATCAACCACCACCACCACCATCAACCACCATCAACCACCATTGTAAATAACAACACTCGTACAACATCAGAGTGCAGCAGCGCCGCATTAAAGACGCACTACAATGACAATAGTTCAAAGCGATTTGAAGCATGTTTCATTTTCAAAATGGAAATATGGTTTTGGGGGGGAGGGGGGGGGCAGAGTTTAGTGACGTCATATTTGAGGGGGGGGGGGGTCTGACTTTTTGTGACGCCACGTGACGAGGGGAGGAGGGGTCAAAAATCGTCCAAAATCTCGTGACCTTTCGTGGTTCAAGTTGTTTGAGTGAGAGAGTGGACTTGTGGGGGGTGAGGGGGGGTGAGGGGGGGTGAGGGGGGGTGAGTGACCACTTGGTACAGTCCAACAGAGTTGTGGGGGTGAGGGGGGGTGAGTCACCACTTGGTACAGTCCAACAGAGTTGTGGGGGTGAGGGGGGGTGAGTCACCACTTGGTACAGTCCAACAGAGTTGTGGGGGTGGGGGGGGGGGTGAGTCACCACTTGGTACATCCCAACAGAGTTGTGGGGGTGAGGGGGGGGTGAGTGACCACTTGGTACATTCCAACAGAGTTGTGGGGGTGAGGGGGGGTGAGTCACCACTTGGTACATTCCAACAGAGTTGTGGGGGTGAGGGGGGGTGAGTGACCACTTGGTACATTCCAACAGAGTTGTGGGGGTGAGGGGGGGTGAGTCACCACTTGGTACAGCCCAACAGAGTTGTGGGGGTGAGGGGGGGTGAGTGACCACTTGGTACAACCCAACAGAGTTGTGGGGGGGGTGAGGGGGGTGAGTCACCACTTGGTACAGTCCAACAGAGTTGTGGGGGGGGTGAGGGGGGGTGAGTCACCACTTGGTACAGCCCAACAGAGTTGTGGGGGTGAGGGGGGGTGAGTGACCACTTGGTACAGTCCAACAGAGTTGTGGGGGTGAGGGGGGGTGAGTGACCACTTGGTACACTCCAACAGAGTTGTGGGGGTGAGGGGGGGGTGAGTCACCACTTGGTACATTCCAACAGAGTTGTGGGGGTGGGGGGGGGGTGAGTGACCACTTGGTACAATCCAACAGAGTTGTGGGGGTGGGGGGGGGGGGTGAGTGACCACTTGGTACAGTCCAACAGAGTTGTGGGGGTGAGGGGGGGTGAGTCACCACTTGGTACAGTCCAACAGAGTTGTGGGGGTGAGGGGGGGTGAGTGACCACTTGGTACAGTCCAACAGAGTTGTGGGGGTGAGGGGGGGGTGAGTGACCACTTGGTACATTCCAACAGAGTTGTGGGGGTGAGGGGGGGTGAGTCACCACTTGGTACATTCCAACAGAGTTGTGGGGGTGAGGGGGGGTGAGTCACCACTTGGTACATTCCAACAGAGTTGTGGGGGTGAGGGGGGGTGAGTGACCACTTGGTACATTCCAACAGAGTTGTGGGGGTGAGGGGGGGTGAGTCACCACTTGGTACATTCCAACAGAGTTGTGGGGGTGAGGGGGGGTGAGTGACCACTTGGTACATTCCAACAGAGTTGTGGGGGTGAGGGGGGGTGAGTCACCACTTGGTACAGCCCAACAGAGTTGTGGGGGTGGGGGGGGGTGAGTGACCACTTGGTACAACCCAACAGAGTTGTGGGGGGGGTGAGGGGGGTGAGTCACCACTTGGTACAGTCCAACAGAGTTGTGGGGGGGGTGAGGGGGGGTGAGTCACCACTTGGTACAGCCCAACAGAGTTGTGGGGGTGAGGGGGGGTGAGTGACCACTTGGTACAGTCCAACAGAGTTGTGGGGGTGAGGGGGGGTGAGTCACCACTTGGTACAGTCCAACAGAGTTGTGGGGGTGAGGGGGGGTGAGTGACCACTTGGTACAGTCCAACAGAGTTGTGGGGGTGAGGGGGGGTGAGTCACCACTTGGTACAGTCCAACAGAGTTGTGGGGGTGAGGGGGGGTGAGTGACCACTTGGTACAGTCCAACAGAGTTGTGGGGGTGAGGGGGGGTGAGTGACCACTTGGTACAGCCCAACAGAGTTGTGAGGGTGAGGGGGGGTGAGTCACCACTTGGTACATTCCAACAGAGTTGTGGGGGTGAGGGGGGGGGTGAGTGACCACTTGGTACAGTCCAACAGAGTTGTGAGGGTGAGGGGGGGTGAGTCACCACTTGGTACAGTCCAACAGAGTTGTGGGGGTGAGGGGGGGTGAGTCACCACTTGGTACAGTCCAACGGAAGGTCACGTGAGCGGATGCCGCAACTTTTGGCGGGAAACCGGACGCCCCTCCCCCCTCCCCACCTCAATTTTGGCGGGAAAACGGGGAGCGACATTGTTGTTGTTGTTGTGAGGAGGAAGACGACGGAGAGAGCGAGCGATCGTCGTTGTTGTCGTCGTCGTCGTCGTTGTTGTTGTTGTTGTGAGGAGGAGGGAGACGACGAAGACGAGCGCTAAAATGTCTCGACAGCAGCAAACTTCCCTCACGGATTTCTTCGGCAGCCGCCGGCGCTCATCGGCTGCCGTGATGCCGGCCAAGAGGCTGAAGCTACGCGGCTCCGATGGAGGTTTCCTCTTCTCCGGCGGCGACGGCTGTGGTGGTGGTGGCGTCTGTAGTGGTGGTGTTGGTGGCGTAGAGGCAAAGTCTCTGAGCGACGTCGTTGTTTTTAGTGGCGCCATGACTGCTTCGTCAACAACAACGACGACGAAGATGACGATGGCGACGACGGAGACGGTCGCTGTGAGGAGAGGGAGGCGTGGGCGGCCATCGCGGGCGACGAGGGGCGAGGGGGAGGACGACGAGGGGAGGACGACGACGAGGAGGGGAGTAAGGGACGACGTGGTCACGTCTGGGGATGACGATCACCGCCGCGGGGAGAGGAGGCGGCGACCTCGACGGCTCGTGGAGGTGGAGGAGGAGGTGGAGGAGGCAGTGGTGGTGAAGAAGGTGGTGGGGGTGGTGGGGAAGGTGGAGGAGGAGGAGGTGGTGGTGGGGAAGAAGGTGGAGGTGGTGGGGAAGGAGGTGGAGGTGGTGGGGGAGGAGAAGGTGGAGGTGGTGGGGGAGGAGGAGGCAGTGGTGGTGAAGAAGGTGGTGGGGGAGGTGGTGGGGGAGGTTGTGGAGGTGGTGGGGAAGGTGGAGGAGGAGGAGGAGGTGGTGGTGGGGAAGAAGGAGGAGGAGGCGGTGGTGGAGGTGGTGGTGGTGGGGAAGAAGGAGGAGGAGGTGGTGGTGGAGGTGGTGGTGGAGGCGGTGGCCGTCACGCCGAGCGGCGGACCCCGGCAGCTGAGAGCGGCGAGACGGCGGGAGGGTGGTGGCGAGAGACGTGGTGATGGGAGACGTGATGGTGATGATGAGATACGTGATGGTGGTGATGATAAGAGACGTGGTGGGGGTGATGAGAAGCGAGGTGATGATGATGAGATACGTGGTGGGGGTGATGAGAAGCGAGGTGATGATGATGAGATACGTGGTGGGGGTGATGGTGGTGATGATGAGATACGTGGGGGTGATGGTGGTGATGATGAGATACGTGGTGGGGGTGATGGTGGTGATGATGAGAGACGTGAGGGTGGTGATGAGAGGCGGGTGATGGTGGAGAACGATGAAGATGCAGCAACAACAACAACAACCACCACCACCACAACCATCGCCACCACGAGAAGACGCCGGCGGCTGTGGGAGCAGCAGCAGCAGTGGAGACGAGAGGAGCAGCAGGAGGAGGGGAGACGAGGGGATGACGGCGGCAAGGAGGACGACGATGATGATGGTGGACACGGAGAGAGCCCCAAGAAGAGAGGCCGTGGGGAGACGCCGCGCCGAGTCGGCGAGGAGGAGGAGGCGGCGGCCATGGGGAGACACGCGGTGAGGAAGCGGCTCCAGCTCGGGGAGAAAGAGGTGAGGGGGGTGGTGGTGGTGAGGGTGAGGGTGGTGAGGGGTGGTGGTGGTAGCAAGGGTGGTGGTAGTGAGGAGGGGTGGTGAGGGGGGTGGTGGTGAGGGGGGTGAGGGGTGGTGGGTGGGGAGACACGCGGTGAGGAAGCGGCTCCAGCTCGGGGAGAAAGAGGTGAGGGGGGTGGTGAGGGGTGGTGAGGGTGGTGGTGAGGGTGAGGGATGGTGGTGGTGTGGGGGGTGGTGGTGAGGGGGGTGAGGGGGGTGGGGGGTGGTGGTGAGGGGGGTGAGGGGGGTGGGGGGTGGTGGTGAGGGGGGAGAAAGAGGTGAGGGGGGTGGTGAGGGTGGTGGTGAGGGTGAGGGATGGTGGTGGTGTGGGGGGTGGTGGTGAGGGGGGTGGGGGGTGGTGGTGAGGGGGGAGAAAGAGGTGAGGGGGGTGGTGAGGGGTGGTGAGGGTGGTGGTGAGGGTGAGGGATGGTGGTGGTGTGGGGGGTGGTGGTGAGGGGGGTGAGGGGGGTGGGGGGTGGTGGTGAGGGGGGAGAAAGAGGTGAGGGGGGTGGTGAGGGGTGGTGAGGGTGGTGGTGAGGGTGAGGGATGGTGGTGGTGTGGGGGGTGGTGGTGAGGGGGGTGGGGGGTGGTGGTGAGGGGGGAGAAAGAGGTGAGGGGGGTGGTGAGGGTGGTGGTGAGGGTGAGGGATGGTGGTGATGTGGGGGGTGGTGGTGAGGGGGGTGAGGGGGGTGGGGGGTGGTGGTGAGGGGGGGGAAAGAGGTGAGGGGGGTGGTGAGGGTGGTGGTGAGGGTGAGGGATGGTGGTGGTGTGGGGGGTGGTGGTGAGGGGGGTGAGGGGGGTGAGGGGGGTGGGGGGTGGTGGTGAGGGGGGAGAAAGAGGTGAGGGGGGTGGTGAGGGGTGGTGAGGGTGGTGGTGAGGGTGAGGGATGGTGGTGGTGTGGGGGGTGGTGGTGAGGGGGGTGAGGGGGGTGGGGGGTGGTGGTGAGGGGGGAGAAAGAGGTGAGGGGGGTGGTGAGGGTGAGGGATGGTGGTGGTGTGGGGGGTGGTGGTGAGGGTGAGGGGTGGTGGTGGTGGTGAGGGGGGGTGGTGAGGGTGATGGTGAGGGGTGGTGGTGGTGAGGGGTGGTGGTGGGGGGGGAGAAAGAGGTGAGGGTGGTGGTGAGGGTGGTGGTGGTGAGGGTGATGGTGATGGTGGAGGAGGTGAGGGTGGTGGTGGTGAGGGGTGGTGGTGGTCGGTGGAGGTGAGGGTGGTGGTGATGGTGGAGGAGGTGAGGGTGGTGGTGGTGAGGGGTGGTGGTGGTCGGTGGAGGTGAGGGTGGTGGTGGTGGTGAGGGTGGTGGGTGGAGGAGGTGAGGGTGGTGGTGTGGGTGGTGGGTGGAGGTGGTGTGGGTGGTTGAGGAGGTGAGGGTGGTGAGGGAGAAAGAGGTGAGGATGGTGATGTTCGTGATGATAGGAGTGAGGATGGTGATGGAACGTAGATAGTGATGATGTTGTTGATGGAAGCTAAGATGGTGATGTTTGCGACGATGGCCTTGTTGATGTTTGCGACGAAGCTCCACGTGCTGTGCTGTTGCGATGGCTCCACAGGGCGACGGCGATGGGGACGGTGATGCCGGTGCCGTGGACGGTGATGCCGGTACCGGCGGCGGTGATGCCGATGACGCCGGTTACCCGCCGGCACGCACAGCCGGGCTTGGCAAGTCCGTGAAGGAGCAGCTGAACCGCAGGCTGTCTCTGTCTCCCACCTGTGGGGGGCCAAAGGCTTCCCCCAGGGGGGCCCCCCCCACCCCGCAGAAGGGGGGTGGTTTGCAGGTGGCGCATAAGGTGAGATGTGTGGGCGTTACGCGGACGTGCTGAGAGACACGCACAGACACGTACAGACACGCACAGACACGTACAGACGCACACAGACGCACACAGACACGTACAGACACGCACAGACACGTACAGACACACACAGACGCACACAGACACGTACAGACACGCACAGACACGTACAGACACACACAGACGCACACAGACACGTACAGACGCGCACAGACGCGCACAGACGCGCACAGACGCGCACAGACGCGCACAGACGCGCACAGACGCGCACAGACGCGCACAGACGCGCACAGACGCGCACAGACGCGCACAGACGCGCACAGACGCGCACAGACACGTACAAAGAGAGACTTGCAGAGACGTACAGAGAGACACATAGACATACAGAGACATACACAGACGTATACAGAGAGACACATAGACATACAGAGACATACACAGACGTATACAGAGGCACATAGACATACAGAGACATACAGAGACATACACAGAGACACAGGCGTACAGAGACACAGACTTATGTAGAGACACATAGACATACAGAGACATACACAGACGTGTACAGAGAGACACATAGACATACAGAGACATACACAGACATATACAGAGAGACACACAGACATACAGAGACATACACAGAGACACAGGCGTACAGAGACACACAGACTTATGTAGAGACACGTGGACATACATAGAGACACACAGACTTACATAGAGACACACAGACGTACATAGAGACACGTAGCAATAATACCAACACCCGCCATTCGCCACTAAGTGCCGGTGAGGTCACCACGGCTGCCTGTGCCAGGCTAGGTGCGCTATGAGGCCACGTGAAGTGTCGAAAGGCTCGCTGCTGACACGTCACGAGGCAGACCCAGCAGGCGCTGTGGGTCGACTGCCTGAGATGGCCGATAGATGCACCAGCTCAAGTTCAAGTTCATTTATTACGTGTAGCCCTGTGAGCCATTCGGCTCTTGAATCGGGTGCAACCGCAACAAACAAAAAACAAAAACATGAACAAAAAACATCTTAAAGTGACTATGTGACTGAGTGCAAACAGAAAATCCAAGAAAAGACGGCTAAATATTGCAGAAAAAAACACCGTTACACACCAACGCTGTGTGCAAAAATCCCAGTGGGATGCAAGTCAAACAACAACAACCACAAGACAACTTAGATTAAGGCCATCAGTCTAACTGTACTGCAACAAACAAACATGGCTAAACCAATACACTTTTCGAAATCGCCAAAATAAAGCCATGAAAGCAATGAAAAAGCGATCATAGGAACTGTGACGGAATTTTCACAATAAATGGCAGATAAACGTACATAGATACGTATACGTGTAGAGACATATTTACATAAAGCATACATATATGTACAAAGCCATACATAGACTTACATAGAGACATACTTAGACATTCAAAGCCATACATAGACTTACATAGAGACATGCTTAGCCGAACATAGACTTGCATAGAGACACACTTAAAATTCCGTCACAGTTCCTATGATTACTTTTTCATTGCTTTCATGGCTTTGTGTTGGTGATTTCGAAAAGTGTATTGGTTTAGCCATGTTTGTGTTGTTGTAGTACAGAGTTAGACTGATGGCCTTAATCTAAGTTGTCTTGTGGTTGTTGTTGTTGTTTGACTTGCATCCCACTGGGATTTTTGCACACAGCGTTGGTGTGTACACGGTGTTTTCCCTGCAATATTTTGCTGTCTTTTCTTGGATTTTCTGTTTGCACTCAGTCACATATTCACTTTAAGATGTTTTCTTGTTCATGTTTTTGTTTGTTGCGGTTGCACCCGATTCAAGAGCCGAATGGCTCACAGGGCTACACCTAATACATGAACTTGTAACTCGGAACTGCCGACCGGCGTTGACTCTGGCTTTGGGGCGTCCACATCGCGAGGTGGCTTCTGCCGTTGACCGTCTCCGCCCCTCTGCGCCACCGTTAACCCGCCACCCACCCACCCCCCACAAACAAAAGACAAAGATCCCCCGTATAGCCTTAACAGACTGTAGGGGCAAGTGCTGTTAGCGAGCACCTATGAAGGCCGGAACGGTACACGAGGGGGTGGGTGGCCAGCACCACGCCCGACCGCCTTTGTCTCTCTAATGATGATGTTTACACACCGCACCGGGTACTCATTTAAGGCTGAATCGACTTAGGGGAGGCCCAGGACCGGTTCAGATAATCGTCACTGGTGTTAGCCGTGAGCGGGAATCGAACCCAAGTCGCCAGGTTCATAGCGCAGCGCGCTAACCACTACACCACCCACCCCCCACCCTCGTGAACGCCGACGCAGGCGAACGCGGCGGAGGTGAAACAGTCCCTCGGGACCTGCAGCTCCCTGGCCGAGTTGCAGGAGAAGATTCGCAGAATCCAGCAGCAGCAGAAGAAGAAGCAACAGGAGGAGGAGACGCAGCAGCTGTCGGAAGCGGGACGCAAAGCCGAGGGCAACGCCGGGACACTGGGCTCCCAGCGTGGCAGGTTTGTCGCTCGAGTGATGGACTGACGGATGAACACGGTACAAGGTCACGTAGCAGCAGGCTCGCGGGAGACTTGTGAGATAAAATTAGAGATACTTTTTTTTTAAACAGGTAAAGGGCCCACTGAACTCACTCTTTAGCACAGGGGGAGAGAACACACAAACTTTACTCGCTGCAGAACAGGGGGAGATCACACAAACTCCACTCACTCTGTAGAACAGGGGGAGACCACACAAACGCCACTCACTCACTCTGTAGAACAGGGGGAGATCACACAAACTCCACTCACTCACTCTGTAGAACAGGGGGAGATCACACAAACTCCACTCACTCACTCTGTAGAACAGGGGGAGATCACACAAACTCCACTCACTCACTCTGTAGAACAGGGGGAGATCACTCAAACTCCACTCACTCACTCTGTAGAACAGGGGGAGATCACACAAACTCCACTCACTCACTCTGTAGAACAGGGGGAGATCACACAAACTCCACTCACTCTGTAGAACAGGGGGAGATCACACAAACTCCACTCACTCACTCTGTAGAACAGGGGGAGATCACACAAACTCCACTCACTCACTCTGCAGAACAGGGGGAGATCCCACAAACTCCACTCACTCACTCTGTAGAACAGGGGGAAATCACACAAACTCCACTCACTCTGTAGAACAGGTGGAGATCACACAAACTCCACTCACTCACTCTGTAGAACAGGGGGAGATCACACAAACTCCACTCACTCACTCTGTAGAACAGGGGGAGATCACACAAACTCCACTCACTCACTGCAGAACAGGGGGAGATCACACAAACTCCACTCACTCACTCTGTAGAACAGGTGGAGATCACACAAACTCCACTCACTCACTCTGTAGAACAGGGGGAGATCACACAAACTCCACTCACTCACTCTGTAGAACAGGGGGAGATCACACAAACTCCACTCACTCACTCACTCTGTAGAACAGGGGGAGATCACACAAACTCCACTCACTCTGTAGAACAGGGGGAGATCACACAAACTCCACTCACTCTGTAGAACAGAGGGAGATCACACAAACTCCACTCACTCACTCTGTAGAACAGGGGGAGATCACACAAACTCCACTCACTCACTCTGCAGAACAGGGGGAGATCACACAAACTCCACTCACTCTGTAGAACAGAGGGAGATCACACAAACTCCACTCACTCACTCTGTAGAACAGGGGGAGATCACACAAACTCCACTCACTCTGTAGAACAGGGGGAGATCACACAAACTCCACTCACTCACTCTGTAGAACAGGGGGAGATCACACAAACTCCACTCACTCACTCTGCAGAACAGGGGGAGATCACACAAACTCCACTCACTCACTCTGTAGAACAGGGGGAGATCACACAAACTCCACTCACTCACTCTGTAGAACAGGGGGAGATCACACAAACTCCACTCACTCACTCTGTAGAACAGGGGGAGATCACACAAACGCCACTCACTCATTCTGCAGACGAGGGGGTGAACACCCAAATCCCAACTGGATTGGCATCGTCAGGGTCCTCTAGCGAACCAATGATCTACTGTGTACCAGGCAATGGAGATGACATCTCCTCACCGATGTTACTGTTACTACAGTCGATGTCAACATCATCGTTGATTACGGTGAAATGCACTTTGAAATATAAGTCGAAAACTCGTTTCTTTAGAACTTATTTTAGTGTTTAGTTTGTTGTCCTTCCCCTGCACCTCCGATTAGCGCGGTTGGCTACGTACGGTGCGACAGAAGTTCAGCATACATCATTGACTTGCATGGAGACACACAGAGACACACAGAGACACACAGACTCGCACAGAGACACACAGACTCGCACAGAGACACACAGACTCGCACAGAGACACACAGACTCGCACAGAGACACAGACTCGCACAGAGACACACAGACTCGCACAGAGACACACAGACTCGCACAGAGACACACAGACTCGCACAGAGACACACAGACTCGCACAGAGACACACAGACTCGCACAGAGACACACAGACTCGCACAGAGACACACAGACTCGCACAGAGACACACAGACTCGCACAGAGACACACAGACTCGCACAGAGACACACAGACTCGCACAGAGACACACAGACTCACACAGAGACACACAGACTCGCAGAGACACACAGACTCACCACACAGATACTCACAGAATCATCACACAGAGACACACAGACTCACCACACAGATACTCACAGAATCATCACACAGAGACACACAGACTCACCACACAGAGACACAGATTCACCACACAGACACACAGAATCACCACACACACAGATACTCACAGAATCACCACACAGAGACACACACTCACCACACACACAGACCCACAGACTCACCACACAGAGACCCATAGACTCACCACACAGACTCACACAGAGACAGAATCATCACACAGGGATAGAGACCCGTAGTTTTCTGTGCCTCCTCGTCCACCAGGTGCCTGGACCCTGCGGAGCTGAAGGCGGCGGTGGAGCGAGCGCGCTCGGCCCGGACCCTCGCCTCGCGACTTCTCGACCGCCGCTCGCTCGCCCCTCGTGCTGCCCCCGCCACTCCACCACCTTGCGTCCACCCCCTCCCAACGACGTCGCCGCCGACCCCGCGTGACCCCGCCCTCCACCTCGCCCGTACCACCCCCGAGAGGTGAGCATCGGGGCCGTCCGTGTACCAGAGGTCGCACACGGGTTTTGATTCCTTACCCGGCTACCCGTACCCGGCCGCACCAGGGTCGCAAACGGGTACCCGTACCCTACCCGTACCCTACCCGATACCCGGCTACCCGTACCCGGCCGGGTAGGGTACGGGTACCTGATTGCGACCTCTGGGATGAAGCCACGTTGCAGGCGTGGGTGGGTTGATTCTAGGAACTTGAATTGTGAGAATAGACAAGACGTTGGGAAATGAGTGACAAACGGTTACTCACCAGTGACTCACGGCCTACCCGTACCCGGCCGCACCAGGGTCGCAAACGGCTACCCGTACCCGGTGGTGCTGTTGCTACTGTGGCACTGCTGCTGTGCTTCTAATGGTGGCGCTGCTGTTGCTGGCGCTGCTCCTGTGCGTGTGCAGCGGGGAGAACGTGCCGGCGTTTGAACGCTTCCACACGCTCGCCCAGGACGCACCCCCTGGCCTCACGCTGCCACTCAAGGTACAGTGCCACCAACAACAACAACATCGCCACCACCACCACCAACAACAACGTCACCACCACCATCATTGCCACCAACAACATCGCCCCCACCAACAACAACAACATCACCACCACCAACAACAACGTCACGACCACCATCATTGCCACCAACAACAACATCGCCACCACCAACAACAACATCACCACCACCAACAACGTCACCACCATCATCAACATCGCCACCATCACCAACAACAACATCACCACCAACAACAACATCACCACCACCAACAACGTCATTGCCACCATCATCGCCACCATCACCAACAACAACATCGCCACCATCAACATTTCCACCAACAACAACATCGCCACCACCATCACCAACAATAACATCGACCCCACCATCACCACCATCACCACCACCATCGCCACGAACAACAACATCGCCACCACCAACATCAACATTGCCACCACCACCAACGTCACCACCACCATCATTGCCACCAACAACAACATCGCCGCCACCATCAACATTGCCACCACCACCAACAACAACATCGCCACGACCATCACCAACAATAACATCGACCCCACCATCACCACCACCATCGCCACCACGATCACCACGAACAACAACATCGCCACCAACAACAACCACAAATTCACCACCACCAACATCACCATCGCCACCAACAACATCGCCACCATCACCCCCAGCATCACCACCATCACCAACGACAACCATCATTCTTTAGTGTCACTGAGCGAATCACTGAATGTGTGTCACTGAGTGTGAGTGAGTGTGTCAGTGTGAGTGTCACTGTGCATCACTGTGTGAGTGTCACTGTGTGAAAGTGAGAGTCACTGTGTGAGAGAGAGTGTCACTGTGTGAGAGTGTCACTGTGTGAGACAGTGTCATTGTGTGAGAGTGAGTGCCACTGTGTGAGAGTGAGAGTCACTGTGTGAGAGTCACTGTGTGAGAGAGAGTGTCACTGTGTGAGAGTGAGTGTCACTGTGTGAGAGTGAGTGTCACTGTGTGAGAGTGAGTGTCACTGTGTGAGAGTGAGTGTCACTGTGTGAGAGTGTCACTGTGTGAGAGTGAGTGCCACTGTGTGAGAGTGAGTGCCACTGTGTGAGAGTGAGTGCCACTGTGTGAGAGTGAGTGTCACTGTGTGAGAGTGAGTGCCACTGTGTGAGAGTGAGTGCCACTGTGTGAGAGTGAGTGTCACTGAGTGCGAGTGAGTGTCACTGAGTGCGAGTGAGTGTCACTGAGTGAGAGTGTCATTGTGTGAGAGAGAGTGTCACTGTGTGAGAGTGAGTGCCACTGTGTGAGAGTGAGTGCCACTGTGTGAGAGTGAGTGTCACTGAGTGCGAGTGAGTGTGTCACTGTGTGTGTCACTGTGTGAGAGTGAGTGTCACTGTGTGAGAGTGAGTGTCACTGAGTGCGAGTGAGTGTGTCACTGTGTGTGTCACTGTGTGAGAGTGAGTGTCACTGTGTGAGAGTGAGTGTCACTGTGTGAGAGAGAGTGTCACTGTGTGAGAGTGAGTGCCACTGTGTGAGAGTGAGTGCCACTGTGTGAGAGTGAGTGTCACTGAGTGCGAGTGAGTGTGTCACTGTGTGAGAGTGAGTGTCACTGTGTGAGTGAGTGTCACTGAGTGTGAGTGAGTGTGTCATTGTGAGTGTGAGTGTGTCACTGTGTGAGAGTGTCACTGTGTGCGGCACTGTGAGGAGTGTCACCGTGAGTGTCACTGTGTGAGAGTGAGTGTCACTGAGAGTGAGTGTGTCACTGAGTATCTGTCCCCCGTGCGTGTGTCACTGTATGAGTGTCACTGTGTGAGAGTGAGTGTGTCACTGTGTGAGTGTCACTGTGTGAGTGTCACTGTGTGAGTGTCACTGTGTGAGAGTGAGTGTGTCACTGTGAGTGTGTCACTGTGTGAGAGTGAGTGTGTCACTGTGAGAGTGTCACTGTGTGAGAGTGAGTGTGTGACTGAGTATCTGTCCCCCGTGCGTGTGTAGATGACGCTGTTGGCGTCACTGTGTGAGTGCCACTGTGTGAGAGTGAGTGTGTCACTGTGAGTGTGTCACTGTGTGAGAGTGTGAGTGCCACTGAGAGTGAGTGTGTGACTGAGTATCTGTCCCCGGTGCGTGTGTAGATGACGCTGTTGGCGTCACTGTGTGAGAGTGAGTGTCACTGTGTGAGAGTGAGAGTGTCACTGTGTAAGTGTCACTGTGTGAGTGCCACTGAGAGTGAGTGTGTGACTGAGTATCTGTCCCCGGTGCGTGTGTCACTGTGTGAGAGTGAGTGTGTCACTGTGAGAGTGTCACTGTGTAAGTGTCACTGTGTGAGAGTGTCACTGTGTGAGTGTCACTGTGTGTGAGTGTGAGTGTTACTGTGTGAGAGTGAGTGTGTCACTGTGAGTGTGTCACTGTGAGTGTGTCACTGTGTGAGTGTCACTGTGAGAGTGAGTGTCACTGTGTGAGAGTGTCACTGTGTAAGTGTCACTGTGTGAGTGTCACTGTGTGTGAGAGTGAGTGCCACTGAGAGTGAGTGTGTGACTGAGTATCTGTCCCCGGTGCGTGTGTCACTGTGTGAGAGTGTCACTGTGTAAGTGTCACTGTGTGAGAGTGTCACTGTGTAAGTGTCACTGTGTGAGTGTCACTGTGTGTGAGTGTGAGTGCCACTGAGAGTGAGTGTGTGACTGAGTATCTGTCCCCGGTGCGTGTGTCACTGTGTGAGAGTGAGTGTCACTGTGTGAGAGTGTCACTGTGTAAGTGTCACTGTGTGAGTGCCACTGAGAGTGAGTGTGTGACTGAGTATCTGTCCCCGGTGCGTGTGTCACTGTGTGAGAGTGTCACTGTGTAAGTGTCACTGTGTAAGTGTCACTGTGTGAGAGTGAGTTAGTGTGTGACTGAGTATCTGCCCCCCGTGCGTGTGTCACTGTGTGAGAGTGAGTGTGTCACTGTGTGAGTGTCACTGTGTGAGTGTCACTGTGAGAGTGAGTGTGTCACTGTGTGAGAGTGTCACTGTGTAAGTGTCACTGTGTGAGAGTGTCACTGTGTAAGTGTCACTGTGTGAGTGTCACTGTGTGTGAGAGTGAGTGTCACTGTGTGAGAGTGAGAGTGTCACTGTGTAAGTGTCACTGTGTGAGTGCCACTGAGAGTGAGTGTGTGACTGAGTATTTGTCCCCGGTGCGTGTGTAGATGACGCTCTTGGCGTCACTGTGTGAGTGCAACTGAGAGTGAGTGTGTCACTGAGTATCTGCCCCCCGTGCGTGTGTCACTGTGTGAGAGTGAGTGTGTCACTGTGTGAGTGTCACTGTGTGAGTGTCACTGTGAGAGTGAGTGTCACTGTGTGAGAGTGTCACTGTGTAAGTGTCACTGTGTGAGTGTCACTGTGTGTGAGTGTGAGTGTCACTGTGTGAGAGTGAGTGTGTGACTGAGTATCTGTCCCCCGTGCGTGTGTAGATGACGCTGTTGGCGTCACTGTGCGAGTGCCACTGAGAGTGAGTGTCACTGTGTGAGTGTCACTGTGTGAGTGCCACTGAGAGTGAGTGTGTGACTGAGTATCTGTCCCCCGTGCGTGTGTCACCGTGTGAGAGTGAGCGTCACTGTGTGAGTGTCACCGTGAGTGCCACTGTGAGAGTGAGTGTCACTGTGTGCGTCACTGAGTGAGAGTAAGTGTCACCGTGTGAGAGTGAGTGTCACTGTGTGAGAGTGAGTGTGTCACTGTGAGTGTGTCACTGTGTGAGTGTCACTGTGTGAGTGTCACTGTGTGACTGAGTATCTGTCCCCGGTGCGTGTGTAGATGACGCTGTTGGCGTCACTGTGTGAGTACAACTGAGAGTGAGTGTGTCACTGAGTATCTGCCCCCCGTGCGTGTGTCACTGTGTGAGAGTGAGTGTGTCACTGTGTGAGTGTCACTGTGTGAGTGTCACTGTGAGAGTGAGTGTCACTGTGTGAGAGTGTCACTGTGTGAGTGTCACTGTGTGAGAGTGAGTGTCACTGTGAGTGTGTCACTGTGTGAGTGTCACTGTGTGAGAGTGAGTGTGTCACTGTGAGTGTGTCACTGTGTGAGAGTGTGAGTGCCACTGAGAGTGAGTGTGTGACTGAGTATCTGTCCCCGGTGCGTGTGTAGATGACGCTGCTGGCGTCACTGTGAGAGTGAGTGTCACTGTGTGAGAGTGAGAGTGTCACTGTGTAAGTGTCACTGTGTGAGTGCCACTGAGAGTGAGTGTGTGACTGAGTATCTGTCCCCGGTGCGTGTGTCACTGTGTGAGAGTGAGTGTGTCACTGTGTGAGTGTCACTGTGTGAGTGTCACTGTGTGAGTGAGTGTCACTGTGTGAGTGAGTGTCACTGTGTGAGAGTGTCACTGTGTGAGAGTGTCACTGTGTGAGAGTGTCACTGTGTGTGAGTGTGAGTGTCACTGTGTGAGAGTGAGTGTCACTGTGAGAGTGAGAGTGTCACTGTGTAAGTGTCACTGTGTGAGTGCCACTGAGAGTGAGTTAGTGTGACTGAGTATCTGTCCCCGGTGCGTGTGTCACTGTGTGAGAGTCACTGTGTGAGAGTGAGTGTGTGACTGAGTATCTGTCCCCGGTGCGTGTGTAGATGACGCTGTTGGCGTGCGTCACTGTGTGAGAGTGAGTGTCACTGTGTGAGAGTGAGAGTGTCACTGTGTAAGTGTCACTGTGTGAGTGCCACTGAGAGTGAGTGTGTGACTGAGTATCTGTCCCCGGTGCGTGTGTAGATGATGCTGTTGGCGTCACTGTGTGAGAGTGAGTGTCACTGTGTGAGAGTGAGTGTGTCACTGAGTGAGTCACTGAGTGTAAGTGAGTGTGTCACTGTGTGAGTGAGTGAGTGAGTGTCACTGCGTGTGTCACTGAGTGTGAGTGAGTGTGTCATTGTGAGTGTGAGTGTGTCACTGTGTGCGTCACTGTGTGAGTGTCACCGTGAGTGCCACTGTGTGAGAGTGTGTCACTGAGTGAGTCACTGAGTGTAAGTGAGTGTCACTGTGTGAGAGTGAGTGTGTCACTGTGTAAGTGTCACTGTGTGAGAGTGTCACTGTGTAAGTGTCACTGTGTGAGTGTCACTGTGTGAGAGTGAGTGTCACTGTGTGCGTCACTGAGTGAGAGTGAGTGTCACCGTGTGAGAGTGAGTGTCACTGTGTGAGAGTGAGTGTGTCACTGTGAGTGTGTCACTGTGAGTGTGTCACTGTGAGTGTGTCACTGTGTGAGTGTCACTGTGTGAGTGTCACTGTGTGAGAGTGAGTGTGTCACTGTGTGAGAGTGAGTGTGTCACTGTGTGAGTGTCACTGTGTGAGTGTCACTGTGAGAGTGAGTGTCACTGTGTGAGAGTGTCACTGTGTGAGAGTGAGTGTGTCACTGTGAGTGTGTCACTGTGTGAGAGTGTGAGTGCCACTGAGAGTGAGTGTGTGACTGAGTATCTGTCCCCGGTGCGTGTGTAGATGACGCTGTTGGCGTCACTGTGTGAGAGTGAGTGTCACTGTGTGAGAGTGAGAGTGTCACTGTGTAAGTGTCACTGTGTGAGTGCCACTGAGAGTGAGTGTGTGACTAAGTATCTGTCCCCGGTGCGTGTGTAGATGACGCTGTTGGCGTCACTGTGTGAGTGCAACTGAGAGTGAGAGTGTCACTGTGTGAGAGTGTCACTGTGTGAGTGTCACTGTGTGTGAGTGTGAGTGCCACTGAGAGTGAGTGTGTCACTGAGTATCTGCCCCCCGTGCGTGTGTCACTGTGTGAGAGTGAGTGTGTCACTGTGTGAGTGTCACTGTGTGAGTGTCACTGTGAGAGTGAGTGTCACTGTGTGAGAGTGTCACTGTGTAAGTGTCACTGTGTGAGTGTCACTGTGTGAGTGTCACTGTGAGTGTGAGTGTCACTGTGTGAGAGTGAGTGTGTGACTGAGTATCTGTCCCCGGTGCGTGTGTAGATGACGCTGCTGGCGGAGATGTTTCGCAGTATGGACACGGTGGTGGGGATGCTCTTCAACCGCACGGAGACAGTCACCTTTGCCAAGGTGCAGAGCGCCGTGCACGAGATGCTGCGCAGGTAAGGGAGTTGGGAGACGCACACGCGGGTACGTGCATCAGCGTGTGTCTGTGTGTATCTGTGCGTGCGTGTGTGTATCGGTATGTGTGTCTGTGTATCGGTGTGTGTGTCTGTGTATCGGTGTGTGTGTCTGTGTATCTGTGCGTGCGTGTGTGTATCGGTATGTGTGTCTGTGTATCGGTACGTGTGTCTGTGTATCGGTACGTGTGTCTGTGTATCGGTGTGTGTGTCTGTGTATCGGTATGTGTGTCTGTGTATCGGTGTGTGTGTCTGTGTATCGGTATGTGTGTCTGTGTGTCGGTATGTGTGTCTGTGTGTCGGTATGTGTGTCTGTGTGTCGGTATGTGTGTCTGTGTGTCGGTATGTGTGTCTGTGTATCGATACGTGTGTCTGTGTATCGGTGTGTGTGTCTGTGTATCGGTGTGTGTGTCTGTGTATCGGTGTGTGTGTCTGTGTATCGGTATGTGTGTCTGTGTATCGGTGTGTGTGTCTGTGTATCGGTATGTGTGTCTGTGTGTCGGTATGTGTGTCTGTGTGTCGGTATGTGTGTCTGTGTGTCGGTATGTGTGTCTGTGTATCGGTGCGTGTGTCTGTGTATCGGTACGTGTGTCTGTGTATCGGTATGTGTGTCTGTGTATCGGTGTGTGTGTCTGTGTATCGGTGTGTGTGTCTGTGTATCGGTATGTGTGTCTGTGTATCGGTATGTGTGTCTGTGTATCGGTGTGTGTGTCTGTGTATCGGTGTGTGTGTCTGTGTATCGGTGTGTGTGTCTGTGTATCGGTACGTGTGTCTGTGTATCGGTACGTGTGTCTGTGTATCGGTGTGTGTGTCGGTGTATCGGTGTGTGTGTCTGTGTATCGGTGTGTGTGTCTGTGTATCGGTATGTGTGTCTGTGTATCGGTGTGTGTCTGTGTATCGGTGTGTGTGTCTGTGTATCGGTGTGTGTGTCTGTGTATCGGTGTGTGTGTCTGTGTATCGGTGTGTGTGTCTGCGTATCGGTATGTGTGTCTGCGTATCGGTATGTGTGTCTGTGTATCGGTGTGTGTGTCTGTGTATCGGTGTGTGTGTCTGTGTATCGGTGTGTGTGTCTGTGTATCGGTATGTGTGTCTGTGTATCGGTGTGTGTGTCTGTGTATCGGTACGTGTGTCTGTGTATCGGTGCGTGTGTCTGTGTATCGGTGCGTGTGTCTGTGTATCGGTGTGTGTGTCTGTGTATCGGTATGTGTGTCTGTGTATCGGTATGTGTGTCTGTGTATCGGTATGTGTGTCTGTGTATCGGTATGTGTGTCCGTGTGTGTTTCGGTGTGTGTGTCTGTATCGGTGTGTGTGTCTGTATCGGTATGTGTGTCTGTATCGGTATGTGTGTCTGTATCGGTATGTGTGTCTGTATCGGTATGTGTGTCTGTATCGGTATGTGTGTCCGTGTGTGTATCGGTATGTGTGTGTCTGTCTGTGGGTATCTGCGTTTTAATCGGTACGTGCATGTTTGTGTGTGTGTGTCTGTGTGTGTCTCTGTGTCTGTGTGTATCTCTGTGCGTGTGTGTGTGTGTAGCGGTGCGTGTGTGCATCGGTATGTATGTCTGTATCTATGTGTGTGTCGGTGTGTGTGTGTTTCTGTCTGTGTATATCTGTGCGTGTGTGTGTAGCGGTGTGTGTGTGCATCGGTATGTATGTCTGTGTGTATATCTGTGTGTCTGTATCTATGTGTGTGTGTGTTTCTGTCTGTGTGTATATCTGTATGTCTGTGTATCTATGTGTGTGTCTTTCTATCTGTGTGTATATCTGTGTGTCTGCGTATCTGTGCGTCGACTCAGCCTGAAATGAGTACCTGGTGCGGTGTGTAAACATCGCCACTGGGGATACAAAGGCGGCCGGGCGTGGTGCTGGCCACCCATCCCCTCGTGTGCCTTGCTGGCCTTCATAGGTGCTCGCTAACAGCACTTGCCCCTACAGCCTGTTAAGGCTACACGGGGTGTATATGTGACTGTGTGTGTGTTTATATACATAACTGTGTGTGTATATGTTATTTTGTATATCTGACAGTGTGTGTGTGTATATGTGACTGTGTGTATATGTGACAGTGTGTGTGTGTATATGTGACAGTGTGTGTGTGTATATGTAACTGTGTGTGTATATGTGACTGTGTGTGTATATGTGACACTGTGTGTATATGTAACAGTGTGTGTGTGTGTATATATGTAACAGTGTGTGTGTATATATGTAACAGTGTGTGTGTGTATATGTGACTGTGTGTGTGTATATGTGACACTGTGTGTATATGTAACAGTGTGTGTGTATATGTAACTGTGTGCGTGGTGTGTGTGTATATGTAACTGTGTGCGTGTGTGTGTATATGTGACTGTGTGTATATGTGACTGTGTGTGTGTATGTGTAACTGTGTGTGTATGTGTAACTGTGTGTGTATATGTGACTGTGTGTGTGTGTAACTGTGTGTGTATATGTAACTGTGTGCGTGTGTGTATGTAACTGTGTGTGTGTATATGTGACAGTGTGTGTGTGTATATGTGACTGTGTGTGTGTATGTGACTGCGTGTGTGTGTGTGTATGTGACTGCGTGTGTGTGTATATGTGACTGTGTGTGTGTGTAACTGTGTGTGTGTATATGTGACAGTGTGTGTGTGTGACTGTGTGTGTATATGTGACTGTGCATGTGTAAATGTGACAGTGTGTGTGCGTGTGTAACTGTGTGTGTGTATATGTAACTGTATGTGTATATGTGACAGTGTGTGTGTAACTGTGTGTGTATATGTGACAGTGTGTGTGTGTACTGTATATGTGACAGTGTGTGTGTGTGTATATGTGACTGTGTGCGTGTGTGTATATGTAACTGTATGTGTGTGTGTAACTGTGTGTGTAACTGTGTGTGTGTATATGTGTGTATATGTGACCGTGTATATGTGACTGTGTGCGTGTGTGATTCAGGCGCTTTGAGGAGCGCAGTGTTGGGCAGATCCACGCCGTGTTCCCGGAGGCGTATCGCTTCCGCCAGGAGAGAGCCGTCGCCGCCTGGAGCCGATCGGCCCGCCCCGGGGACTACCAGCTCACCATCGAGCCCCTGCTACCCACGGGTGAGTACTCACCACTCGCTCACCACTCGCTAACCACTCGATCACCACCGTCGCTCACCACTCGCTCGCCACTCGCTCACCACTCGCTCGCCACCTCACTCACCACCACACTCACCACTCGCTCGCCACTCGCTCACCACTCGCTTCGCCACCTCACTCACCACCACACTCGTCACGACACTCGCCACCACACTCACCATCGAGCCCCTGCTCCCCATGGGTGAGTGCTCACCACCACACTCACCACTCGCTCACCACTCGCTCACCACCTCGCTCACCACCTCACTCACCACCACACTCACCACCATCATCACAACCACCCTCACCGCTCACCACACTATAAACCACTACTCCTCACCACCCTCACCGGAGCTCACCTCTCACCACGCCACCTCACCACACTCACCACACTCACCACCACACTCACCACCATCATCACAACCACCCTCACCGCTCACCCACTAAATCGCTACTCCTCACCACCCTCTCAGGGGCTCACCTCTCACGACGCCCACAGCAGCCGACCTCTGACCCTCTCCGGTGCCCCCCCCCACCACCCCCGCCACTTCCAACTCCATCCTCACGACCCTCGACCCCTCCCCCCACCCCCCGCAGGTGACACGACGCAGGGGTCGCGACCCCACCTGACAGCGGCTCGACTCCTGGAACGACGTCGCTCGTTCCACCGCCGCTTGCTCGCCATCGTCAAGAAACATCACAAGGTGAGGAGAGGGGTCGGGGGTCGGGGGTCAGGGGTCACCACGAGGCACACTCGGGAAATGTATAGGCAAAGGAGCAGCACTGCAATTGCCTTGACAGGCTGTTGCGCAACATGTACCACACCACCCCCGCCCCCCCCCCTCGTGTGCCACCGTGCTGCCTACACGCTCACAGCACTTGCCACCAATAGCCTGTTGAAGTATCTTTGTCTTGTTAGTGGAGTTTGTGTGATCTCCCCCTGTTCTACAGAGTGAGCGAGTGGAGTTTGTGTGATCTCCCCCTGTTCTACAGAGTGAGTGAGTGGAGTTTGTGTGATCTCCCCCTGTTCTACAGAGTGAGTGAGTGGAGTTTGTGTGATCTCCCCCTGTTCTACAGAGTGAGTGAGTGGAGTTTGTGTGATCTCCCCCTGTTCTACAGAGTGAGTGAGTGGAGTTTGTGTGATCTCCCCCTGTTCTACAGAGTGAGTGAGTGGAGTTTGTGTGATCTCCCCCTGTTCTACAGAGTGAGTGAGTGGAGTTTGTGTGATCTCCCCCTGTTCTACAGAGTGAGTGAGTGGAGTTTGTGTGATCTCCCCCTGTTCTACAGAGTGAGTGAGTGGAGTTTGTGTGATCTCCCCCTGTTCTACAGAGTGAGTGAGTGGAGTTTGTGTGATCTCCCCCTGTTCTACAGAGTGAGTGAGTGGAGTTTGTGTGATCTCCCCCTGTTCTACAGAGTGAGTGAGTGGAGTTTGTGTGATCTCCCCCTGTTCTACAGAGTGAGTGAGTGGAGTTTGTGTGATCTCCCCCTGTTCTACAGAGTGAGTGAGTGGAGTTTGTGTGATCTCCCCCTGTTCTACAGAGTGAGTGAGTGGAGTTTGTGTGATCTCCCCCTGTTCTACAGAGTGAGTGAGTGGAGTTTGTGTGATCTCCCCCTGTTCTACAGAGTGAGTGAGTGGAGTTTGTGTGATCTCCCCCTGTTCTACAGAGTGAGTGAGTGGAGTTTGTGTGATCTCCCCCTGTTCTACAGAGTGAGTGAGTGGAGTTTGTGTGATCTCCCCCTGTTCTACAGAGTGAGTGAGTGGAGTTTGTGTGATCTCCCCCTGTTCTACAGAGTGAGTGAGTGGAGTTTGTGTGATCTCCCCCTGTTCTACAGAGTGAGTGAGTGGAGTTTGTGTGATCTCCCCCTGTTCTACAGAGTGAGTGAGTGGAGTTTGTGTGATCTCCCCCTGTTCTACAGAGTGAGTGAGTGGAAGTTTGTGTGATCTCCCCCTGTTCTACAGAGTGAGTGAGTGGAGTTTGTGTGATCTCCCCCTGTTCTACAGAGTGAGTGAGTGGAGTTTGTGTGATCTCCCCCTGTTCTACAGAGTGAGTGAGTGGAGTTTGTGTGATCTCCCCCTGTTCTACAGAGTGAGTGAGTAGAGTTTGTGTGATCTCCCCCTGTTCTACAGAGTGAGTGAGTGGAGTTTGTGTGATCTCCCCCTGTTCTACAGAGTGAGTGGTGGAGTTTGTGTGATCTCCCCCTGTTCTACAGAGTGAGTGAGTGGAGTTTGTGTGATCTCCCCCTGTTCTACAGAGTGAGTGAGTGGAGTTTGTGTGATCTCCCCCTGTTCTACAGAGTAGTGAGTGAGTGGAGTTTGTGTGATCTCCCCCTGTTCTACAGAGTGAGTGGAGTTTGTGTGATCTCCCTCTGTTCTACAGAGTGAGGAGGGAGTTGTGTGATCTCCCCCTGTTCTACAGAGTGAGTGAGTGGAATTTGTGTGATCTCCCCCTGTTCTACAGAGTGAGTGGAGTTTGTCTGATCTCCCCCTGTTCTACAGAGTAAGTGAGTGGAGTTTGTGTGATCTCCCCCTGTTCTACAGAGTGAGTGGAGTTTGTGTGATCTCCCCCTGTTCTACAGAGTGAGTGAGTGGAGTTTGTGTGATCTCCCCCTGTTCTGCAGAATGAGCGAGTGGCGTTTGTGTGATGTCCCCCTATTCTACAGAGTGAGTGAGTGGAGTTTGTGTGATGTCCCCCTGTTCTACAGAGTGAGTGAGTGGAGTTTGTGTGATCTCCCCCTGTTCTACAGAGTGTGTGAGTGGAGTTTGTGTGATCTCCCCCTGTTCTACAGAGTGTGTGAGTGGAGTTTGTGTGATCTCCCCCTGTTCTACAGAGTGTGTGAGTGGAGTTTGTGTGATCTCCCCCTGTTCTACAGAGTGAGTGGAGTTTGTGTGATCTCCCCCTGTTCTACAGAGTGAGTGGAGTTTGTGTGTACGGGTATCGGGTACCCGGTTGCGACCTGGATTTTGGTGTCGCGTAAACAGAACGTCGCCAATTCGCAAAACACAACGAATCACCCGCGAGCTCGCAAGGCAGCCGCGTCGTCATCATCGTCGATCTGCCCTCCGACCCCGCCCCGCAGGCCTTCCTGGAGTCGCTGTCACCCCCCATGGCGGTGCCCGATGAGCGACTGGCTCGCTGGCACCCGCGCTTCGACGTGGACGCGGTGCCCGACGTGACCCCGGCGCCGCTGCCCCGGCCACCCGAATCCGAGCGCTGCACCACGGCAGGGGACGCGCTGCGGATGGGGAGGGGAGGAGGAGGGGGAGGCCTCACGCCCAAGGTGAGTGTCTGTACATTTGTCTGTCCAGCTGTCTGTCTGTCTACCTGGTTGTGTGTCTGTCTACCTGGTTGTGTCTGTCTAGCTGGTTGTGTGTGTGTACATCTGTCTGTCTAGCTGTCTGTCTGTCTAGCTGGTTGTGTGTCTGTACATCTGTCTGTCTAGCTGTCTGTCTGTCTACCTGGTTGTGTGACTGCCTACCTGGTTGTGTGTCTGTCTAGCTGGTTGTGTGTGTGTGTACATCTGTCTTGTGTGTCTGTCTACCTGGTTGTGTGTCTGTCTAGCTGATGTTGTGTGTGTGTACATCTGTCTGTGTGTCTGTCTAGCTGATGTTGTGTGTGTGTACATCTGTCTGTGTGTCTGTCTAGCTGATGTTGTGTGTGTGTACATCTGTCTGTGTATCTGTCTGGCTGGTTGTGTGTGTCTACATCTGTCTGTGTGTCTGTCTAGCTGATGTTGTGTGTGTACATCTGTCTGTCTAGCTGTCTGTCTGTCTAGCTGGTGTTGTGTGTGTGTACATCTGTCTGTCTAGCTGTCTGTCTGTCTAGCTGGTGTTGTGTGTGTGTACATCTGTCTGTGTATCTGTCTAGCTGGTTGTGTGTGTGTGTACATCTGTCTGTCTAGCTGTCTGTCTGTCTAGCTGGTGTTGTGTGTGTGTACATCTGTCTGTCTAGCTGTCTGTCTGCCTACCTGGTTGTGTGTCTGTCTAGCTGGTTGTGTGTGTGTCTAGCTGTCTGTCTGTCTATCTGGTTGTGTGTGTGTGCATTTGTCTGTGTCTGTCTACCTGGTTGTGTGTGTGTCTACCTGGTTGTGTGTGTGTCTACCTGGTTGTGTGTCTGTCTACCTGGTTGTGTGTCTGTCTAGCTGTCTGTCTGTCTATCTGGTTGTGTGTGCATCTGTCTGTGTCTGTCTAGCTGGTTGTGTGTGTGTACATCTGTCTGTGTCTGTCTACCTGGTTGTGTGTGTGTACATCTGGTTGTGTGTGTACATCTGTCTGTCTAGCTGTCTGTCTGTCTAGCTGGTGTAGTGTCTGTCTAGCTGGTTGTGTGTACATTTATCTTGTCTGTACATATGTCTGTCTAGCTGTCTGTCGTGTGTAGTGTATAGTAATGTAGTGTATATAGTAGTGTAGTAATGTAGTGTATATAGTAGTGTAGTAATGTAGTGTATATAGTAGTGTAGTAATGTAGTGTGTAATGTAGTGTATATAGTAGTGTAGTAATGTAGTGTATATAGTAGTGTAGTAATGTAGTGTGTAATGTAGTGTATATAGTAGTGTAGTAATGTAGTGTGTATAGTAGTGTAGTAATGTAGTGTGTATAGTAGCGTAGTAATGTAGTGTATATAGTAGTGTAGTAATGTAGTGTATATAGTAGTGTAGTAATGTAGTGAATATAGTAGTGTAGTAATGTAGTGTATATAGTAGTGTAGTAATGTAGTGAATATAGTAGTGTAGTAATGTAGTGTATATAGTAGTGTAGTAATGTAGTGTATATAGTAGTGTAGTAATGTAGTGTATATAGTAGTGTAGTAATGTAGTGTATATAGTAGTGTAGTAATGTAGTGTATATAGTAGTGTAGTAATGTAGTGTATATAGTAGTGTAGTAATGTAGTGTATATAGTAGTGTAGTAATGTAGTGTATATAGTAGTGTAGTGTGTAGTTTGCAGGAGTGTCGTGTCTGAATTGGTCTGCAATAAGGTAGACACTGATTAGGGGGTTGACAGGTATGGTATAGGGTAGTGTATCATGTAGTGCAGTGTGTAGTGTATAGTAGTGTGTAGTGTGTAGTAATGTAGTGTATAGTTGTGCAGTGTGTAATAATGTAGTGTGTAGTGTATAGTGAACTAGTGTAGTGTATAGTGTAGTCTATAGTAGTGTATAGTGTAGTATATAGTAGTGTGTAGTGTAGTGTATAGTGAACTAGTGTAGTGTATAGTGTAGTATATAGTAGTGTATAGTGTAGTATATAGTAGTGTATAGTGTAGTGTATAGTGAACTAGTGTAGTGTATAGTGTAGTATATAGTAGTGTATAGTGTAGTGTATAGTGTAGTGTATAGTGTAGTATATAGTGTAGTGTAGTGTATAGTGAACTAGTGTAGTATATAGTAGTGTATAGTGTAGTATATAGTAGTGTATAGTGTAGTGTGCAGTAATGTAATGTAGTTATGGTTTATAGAGTTAGTTGATCGTTCAGAGCGGAGGCGCGAGTTTTTGCCGGAGGCTGAGGTGTTTGCCGACTGGCGTCGCCCGATGTCCTCGCCCGTCAGATGGAGAAAGCGCTGGCGAACGTGGCTCTCAAGTCCTCGGGTGCCACGCCGGGAGATAGAACGACCGGAGAGACGGAGACACGGGCGGAGGCAACACCGGGACCCGCAGCGACGCTCAGTCCTGCACTCAAGGGGATCTCGCAGTCACTGATCGACAGGGTGAGTGTGTGTGGGTGGGTGGGTGAAGGAGAGGTGAGTGGGTGGGTGAGTGGGTGGGTGGGTGAAAGAGAGGGTGGGTGAGAGGGTGGGTGAGTGAGAGGATGGGTGGGTGGGTGGGTGAGAGGGTGGGTGGGTGAGTGAGTGAGAGGATGGGTGAGTGAGTGAGAGGGTGGATGGGTGTGTGAGTGAGTGGGTGAGTGAGTGAGAGGGTGGGTGGGTGAGTGAGAGGGTCAGTGAGAGCGTTTCACACTTCACGCGATGGCCTCGAGGTGCACCTAGCCTGGCACTGCCACCTAGTGGCTAATGGCAGGTGATGTTGCTGCTGTCAGTGGTGGTGGTGCATTGAGTGTTGATGTGCATGTCTCCTCTCCTGTTCCTTTCTTCCTCTGCCCTGTCCCTCTCTGTCCCTCTGCACCCCCCCACCTCTCTGTCTCCCCATCTCTCTCTCTCCCCTCCCTCTCTCCCCATCTCTATCCCCATCTCTCCCTCCCCTCCGCCCCCCTCTCTGCCCCCCTCTCTCCCCATCTCTCTCCCCATCTCTCCTGTCCGTCCCTCCTGTCCATCTCTCCCTCCGCCCCCCTCTTTCGCCCCCCTCTGCCCCCCATCTCTCCCCATCTCTCCCTCTGCCCCCCTCTCTCGCCCCCCTCTCTCCCCATCTCTCTCCCCATCTCTCTCCCCATCTCTCTCCCCATCTCCCCCTCTCTCCCCCTCCGACTCCCCCTCCGCCCCCCTCTCTCCACCACAAGGTGCGTGCTCGCTCACTCTCTCTCTCCCCCCTCTCTCCACCACAAGGTGCGTGCACGCTCACTCTCTCTCCCCCCTCTCTCCACCACAAGGTGCGTGCTCGCTCACTCTCTCTCTCTCTCTCTCTCCCCCCTCGCTCACTCTCTCGCTCACTCTCGCCCCCCTCTCTCCACCACAAGGTGCGTGCTCGCTCACTCTCTCGCTCTCTCTCTTGCCCACTCTCTCGCTCACTCTCGCGCTCTCTCTCTCCCCCCTCTCTCCACCACAAGGTGCGTGCTCGCTCACTCTCTCACTCTCTCTCCCCTCTCTCCACCACAAGGTGCGTGCTCACTCACTCTCTCGCTCTCTCTCCCCTCTTTCCACCACAAGGTGCGTGCCCGCGAGGCCGCTCGTGCCGCGGCCTCCATGCAGCGCGACCCCATGGCGGAGGAGCGAGCGTGCCGCCTGCGGCGCCTGCCGGCGGTGGCGAGGACGCTGCGCGGAGTCTTCCTGGCGGAGCGGCGCCCGGCGCTGCCCATGGAGCTCGCCTGCTCACGTCTCGTCCAGAGCTGCGGCCTCGGAACCACCGCTGGTACGTCCTCTCTCGCTCTCTGTGTGTGTGTGTGTGTGTCTATTGGTCTCTTTGTCGTAAGTCTATGGGGGTCTCTACCGTGTGATGAGTCTATTGGTCTCTTTGTCATAAGTCTATGGGTCTCTACTGTGTGAGGAGTCTATGGGTCTATACTGTGTGATGAGTCTATGGGTCTCTACTGTGTGATGAGTCTATGGGTCTCTTTGTCATAAGTCTATGGGTCTCTACTGTGTGAGGAGTCTATGGGTCTATAATGTGTGAGGAGTCTATGGGTCTCTACTGTGTGAGGAGTCTATGGGTCTATACTGTGTGAGGAGTCTATGGGTCTCTACTGTGTGAGGAGTCTATGGGTCTATACTGTGTGATGAGTCTATGGGTCTATACTGTGTGATGAGTCTATGGGTTTCTACTGTGTGATGAGTCTATAGGTCTCTTTGTCATAAGTCTATGGGTCTCTACTGTGTGATGAGTCTATGGGTCTTTACTGTGTGATGAATCTATGGGTCTCTTTGTCATAAGTCTATGGGGGTCTCTACCGTGTGATGAGTCTATTGGTCTCTTTGTCATAAGTATATGGGTCTCTACTGTGTGAGTATGGGCCTCTACTGTGTGATGAGAGTATGGGTTTCTGTATGAGGAGTCTATGGGGTCTCTACTGTGTGATGAGTCTATGGGTCTCTTTGTCATAAGTCTATGGGGGTCTCTACCGTGTGATGAGTCTATTGGTCTCTTTGTCATAAGTATATGGGTCTCTACTGTGTGAGTATGGGCCTCTACTGTGTGATGAGTGTATGGGTTTCTGTATGAGGAGTCTATGGGGTCTCTACTGTGTGATGAGTCTATGGGTCTCTCTGAGTCTATGGGGTCTCTACTGTGTGATGAGTCTATGGGTCTCTCTGAGTCTATGGGGTCTCTACTGTGTGATGAGTCTATGGGTCTCTACCGTGTGGTGAGTCTATGGGGTCTCTACCGTGTGATGAGTCTATTTGTCTCTTTGTCATAAGTCTATGGGTCTTTACTGTGTGAGTATGGGCCTCTACTGTGTGATGAGAGTATGGGTTTCTGTATGAGGAGTCTATGGGGTCTCTACTGTGTGATGAGTCTATGGGTCTCTCTGAGTCTATGGGGTCTCTACTGTGTGATGAGTCTATGGGTCTCTCTGAGTCTATGGGGTCTCTACTGTGTGATGAGTCTATGGGTCTCTACTGTGTGGTGAGTCTATGGGTCTCTCTGAGTCTATGGGGTCTCTACTGTGTGATGAGTCTATGGGTCTCTACCGTGTGGTGAGTCTATGGGTCTCTACTGTGTGATGAGTCTATGGAGTCTCTACTGTGTGGTGAGTCTATGGGTCTCTACTGTGTGATGAGTCTATGGGTCTCTACTGTGTGATGAGTCTATGAGTCTCTACTGTGTGGTGAGTCTATGAGTCTCTACTGTGTGGTGAGTCTATGGGTCTCTACTGTGTGATGAGTCTATGGGTGTCTCTACTGTGTGATGAGTCTATGGGTGTCTCTGCTGTGTGATGAGTCTATGGGTCTCTACTGTGTGATGAGTCTATTGGTCTCTCTGAGTCTATGGGGGTCTCTACCGTGTGATGAGTCTATGGGTCTCTACCGTGTGGTGAGTCTATGGGGTCTCTACCGTGTGGTGAGTCTATGGGGTCTCTACCGTGTGGTGAGACGGTGCACGGTAGAGTGACCGACCGTGTCGCCACCCACAGGGGAGATGGAGCAGCTGGTGCGGCTGCTGGCTGACGTGGCGCCGCGCTGGCTGGGACTGGTGACGACGTCGCGCGGCGACCTCTACGTCAAGCTGCTAGACAAGTCTGCCGACCTCGCCCAGATCACCACACAGCTGCAGGAGCGAGCACGCCAAGAGCAGCAGCCCTCCCTCTAGCGGGGGGGGCGGTGGCGTGGACACAGAGTCACTCGAAGAAGAATAAGGAAGTCTCGGAAGTAGATCTGTGACATCCGCTTCTGCAGCTCCCGTTGTGTGTGGACACAGAGTCACTCGAAGAAGAATAAGAATGGAGTCTCGGACGTAGCTCTGTCATATCCGCTTCTGCAGCTCCCGTTGTGTGTGGACACAGAGTCACTCGAAGAAGCATAAGAAGACGGGCGTCTCGGACGTAGTTCTGTCATATCCGCTTCTGCAGCTCCCGTTGTGCGTGGACCCAGAGTCACTCGAAGAAGAATAAGAAGGGAATCTCGGACGTAGCTCTGTCATATCCGCTTCTGCAGCTCCCGTTGTGTGTGGACACAGAGTCACTCGAAGAAGAATAAGGAAGTCTCGGAAGTAGATCTGTGACATCCGCTTCTGCAGCTCCCGTTGTGTGTGGACATAGAGTCACTCGAAGAAGAATAAGATGAAGGGCGTCTCGGACGTAGCTCTATCATATCCGCTTCTGCAGCTCCCGTTGTGTGTGGACACAGAGTCACTCGAAGAGGAATAAGAAGAAGGGCGTCTCGGACGTAGCTCTGTCATATCCGCTTCTGCAGCTTCCGTTGTGTGTGGACACAGAGTCACTCGAAGAAGAATAAGAAGAAGGGCGTCTCGGACGTAGCTCTGTCATATCCGCTTCTGCAGCGGGTTTACAGGCGAACGTCCGAACCGGTCCCGAGCCCTCACCAGAGGTCGCAACCGGGTACCCGATACCCGTACCCTACCCGATACCCGGCTACCCGTACCAGTTTGTGACCCTGGTGCGGCCAGGTTCTGGTACGGGTAGGCCGTGAGTCACTGGTGAGTAACCGTTTGTCACTCATTTCGGGTAGGGTACGGGTAGCGTACGGGTACCTGTACCCGGTCGGGTACGGGTACGGCCGGGTACGGGTAGCCGTTTGCGACCCTGGTGCGGCCGGGTATGGGTTACGGGTAAGGAATCAAAACCCGTTTGCGACCTCTGGCCCTCACTTCCCCGCCGATGTCGACCCAGCCGCCACGGCGCCGAGGGGATGTTGACGACCTCGCCCGGTACGCAGGAGGTCTGAGTTCGATCCCGAACCTGACGCCTGCTGCTGCTGCTGTGTATGTTGAGTCTGCGTCTCTCTTTCTCTCCCCGTGGTCGTGTGAATTTTTCTCCCGGTTCCTCCGGTTTTTCCCTCCACATTTACAATCGACAACATCACTCGCTCATAGTGATTCGGCTGCTGTTAATGTCCACTCCATGATGAGAATCCTTGTGCAGTGTCTTCTTGGTTCTTTCGGTAAAGTCACGTAGAAGGGAAATAATAAAATAATAAAAATTTACATAATAAAATACAATTCTCACGACGTTTCGGCCACAACGCAAGCAGCCGTCCTCAGGTGAAGAACAGGTCTGTCGGAAAGACAGCGTCTGAATGAAACACCACCAAGCTTGGCAGCGTATATTTAAGCTGTTGGGTTAGAGGGGGAAGAGCGCCTTGACAAAGGAATTTGCATATCAAGAGGAATTTAGCATATTTATGGGAAATGCAGATATGGGATTAGTCACTACTTGTGGAATGCGTAGGAGGTGGGTCTCAAAGTCATATTATGCCCGTGCATTTTGTAGGATTAGCAGCATCAAAGCGAAGGCATTTTAATAGTAAGGAGCTGCAGCATATCACCTGAGGACGGCTGCTTGCGTTGTGGCCGAAACGTCGTGAGAATTGTATTTTATTGTTTTATTTTTATTATTTTATTACTTCCCTTCAACGCGACTTTACCGAAAGAACCAAGAAGATGAATCCCTGCAGTCACGAAAGCTTTACATCGAAATTTAAGAGTGGTTTAGTTTAGAGAAAATAGTTTCATATTCTTGGTTCTTTCGGTAAAGTCACGTAGAAGGGAAATAGTAAAATAACAAAAAAACAAAACAATAAAAATTCTCACGACGTTTCGACTGCAAAACAAGCGTCATCATCATCGGCTGTGGTTCTCACACCTGATGATGATCGCTCGTGTTGCAATGGAAACGTCGTGAGAATTTTATTGTTTTATTATTTTATTACTTCCCTTCTACGTGATGACTTTACCGAAAGAACCAAGAAGATCAATCCATGCTGCAGTCACGAAAGCTTTCAATCGAAATTTGTGCGGTGTGTTAAGACATCTGAAAGGCAACCGGCCTCAACGCTCGCGTTACGAGAACAGCAACATTTGCCCCACGCAGCCTGTGGAGGCTACACGGTCCATCTGTTGACGTCCGCCGCCGTGTCCAGCCGATTGTGACCTCGCCTAGCTTGACCTGTGCTGACCTCACGACTCGCCTGACCTTCGAGAGTGACCTCTTGCATAATTGAAAACTCATTACTTTAGAACTGCTGTTTGTGTTTAGTTTGGTGTCTCTCCCCCCCCCCGGCACCTCCGATTAGCGCGGTTTGTTACGTACGGTGGTGTGAAAGAATTTAAACAGACACACAGACTCACACAGAGACCCACAGACTCACACAGGGACCCATAGACGCGCACAGAGACCCATAGACTCACACAGAGACACACAGACTCGCACAGAGACCCATAGACTCGCACACAGACACACAGACTTACACAGAGACCCATAAACTTACACAGACACACAGACTCGCACACAGAGACACACGGACGCGCACACAGAGACCCATAGACTCACACAGCCGCACAGAGACCCACAGACTTGCACAGAGACCCACACAGAGACCCACAGACTCCCACAGAGACACACACAGAGACCCACAGACTCCCACAGAGACCCATAAACTTACACAGACTCGCACACAGACACACGGACGCGCACACAGAGACCCATCGACTCACACAGGCTCACACAGAGACCCATATACTCGCACAAAGACCCACAGACTTGCACAGAGACCCACAGACTCGCACAGAGACCCATTGTTGTCCTTACCCCAGCACCTCCGATATAGCGCAGTTTGCCACTGACGGTGCGAAATAAGTTCGACATACAGTGCAGCTGAATGTGCAGAAGCCGATGTCGTGATGATGTGGCGACGACGGTGGTGGTGGCGATGACGGTGGCGGTGGCGATGACGGCGGTGGTGGTGGCGGCGATGACGGCGGTGGTGGTGGTGGCGATGACGGTGGTGGTGGTGGTGGCGATGACGGCGGTGGTGGTGGTGGCGATGACGATGACGGTGGTGGTGGTGGTGGCGATGGTGGTGGCGATGACGGTGGTGGTGGCGATGACGATGACGGTGGTGGTGGTGGTGGCGATGGTGGTGGCGATGACGGTGGTGGTGGCGATGACGGTGTGGGGAGCGGTGGTGCAGCGGTCGGCGCTACGAACCCTGCGGCGACCCGAGTTCGATTCCCATCGTCCATCGGCCACGATTCTCTGAACCCCCCGGTCCTGTAGCGAGCGCTGCGTAGTGGACATCGCCACTGGGGGGGAGACAAAGGCGGCCGGGCGTGGGGGCTGTGACCACCCTCTCTCCCCCTCGTTCGTAAGCGCTGCTACTCGCTCACAGCACTTGCCCCTGACAATGTTAGAAGCTACAAGGGGGAGCTTTGTCTTCGATGATGATGGTGGTGGTGGTGTAAGTGGGGTGTCTTTGGGGCCGTCCATAAATGACGTCACGTACCTAGGGGAGGGGGGGGGGTCAGATTTGTGTGACGAGAGAGGGGGGGGGGGTTGAGAAATGTGACGTCACATCAAAATGGGCAACTTTAAATCAATATAGACAACACGTTCTACTTAATTAAATAGACTTTGTAATAAATGTTTTCTCCTACAACATCAGAGTGCAGCGCCACATTAAATATGCACTACAATGACAATAGTTTAAAGCGATTTGAAGCATGTTTCATTTTGGGGGGGGGGGCAGAGCTTTAAGACGTCATATTTGAGGGGGGGGGGGGTCAAAAATCGTCCTTAATCGCGTGACGTCATTTATGGACGGCCCTTTAATGACGTGAAGGCGTTCTCTTACCAAGACTGCGTGTGCTGTGTTGAGTTGGGTGGTGGTGGTGGTGTTGTTGCTGCTGCTTCTGTGCCTTCTCGTGTCTGTTGTTGTTGTTTTTAATAAAAGCGAAGTTGTCGGGAATCAATCTTCATTTGGAGCTTTCGTGACTGCAGGGATTACTCTTTGGTTCTTTCGGTAAAGTGACGTATAAAGAAGATAAAGTAATAAATTAAATACTAGCATACGACGTTTCGATTGCAACACAAGCAATCATCGTCAGGTATAAATGAAATAGAAACACAAATCGAGTATGCTTAGAAATGTAATGTAATACAGAGAGTCGGATAACATAACAGTCAACACCCTACCTATACACCACTACACTACACTATACACTACTACACTACACTATACACTACTACACTACTACACTACTACACTACACTACACACTACTACACTACACTATACACTACAATACACTACTATACACTACTACACTACACTATACACTACACTATACACTACTACACTACACTATACACTACTACACTACACACTACAATACACTACTACACTACACTATACACTACTATACTACACTATACACTACACACTACTACAACAGAGAGTCGGATAACATAACAGTCAACACCCTACCTGGTTGATTACGTTCTTCCTGAGAATGCTACATTTGAGAGAGAGATCAAACACAGAACCAGAGACATATAGACAGACATATAAGCAGACAGATATCACAGAGATACATAGAGAGAAACACATACATAGGCACACAGATAAAACACAGAACCAGAGACATATAGACAGACACATAAGCAGACAGATATCACAGAGATACATAGAGAGACACACATACATAGGCACACAGATACAACACAGAACCAGAGACATATAGACAGACACATAAGCAGACAGATATCACAGAGATACATAGAGAGACACACATACATAGGCACACAGATAAAACACAGAACCAGAGACATATAGACAGACACATAAGCAGACAGATATCACAGAGATACATAGAGACACACATACATAGGCACACAGATAAAACACAGAACCAGAGACATATAGACAGACACATAAGCAGACAGATATCACAGAGATACATAGAGAGAAACACATACATAGGCACACAGATAAAACACAGAACCAGAGACATATAGACAGACACATAAGCAGACAGATCTCACAGAGATACATAGAGAGACACACATACATAGGCACACAGATAAAACACAGAACCAGAGACATATAGACAGACACATAAGCAGACAGATATCACAGAGATACATAGAGAGACACACATACATAGGCACACAGATAAAACACAGAACCAGAGACATATAGACAGACACATAAGCAGACA